GTCACTCCCTCCCCTCCACTTCTTGTCTTCTCGAGCATCCTCCTCATTTCGACTGACCTTACAGCTTTCACCTCACCACATTTGTCCATATTAATATGTCATTATTAATGATTTTTGTGTAATTCAGTATAATTATGTTGCCAGGCAAAATGTCAGAGGTAATAATGTCAGAGGTAATTATGTCAGAGGTAATAATGTCAGAGGTAATAATGTCAAAGGTAAAAATGTCAGAGGTAAAAAAATGTCAGAGGTAATAATATCAGAGGTAAAAAAATGTCAGAGGTAATAAGGTCAGAGGTAATAATGTCAGAGGTAATAAGGTCAGAGGTAATAATGTCAGAGGTAATAATATCAGAGGTAAAAAAAATGTCAGAGGTAATAATGTCAGAGGTAAAAATGTCAGAGGTAATAATGTCAGAGGTAATAATGTCAGAGGTAATAAGGTCAGAGGTAATAATGTCAGAGGTAATAATGTCAGAGGTAAAAATGTCAGAGGTACAAACAAAATGTCGGGGTAAAATCAGTGCCGTCATAAAATCTCAGCACTTTATCGTACACAATGTCGAGATGTAAGCTACTGGGCCAGTCTATTATATTCTCATTATCATCCCAGCAAAGACTCTTATGAATAGAAAACATAAAGAAAGAGACATCGATGCTTCCCCCCTCTCGTCAATACTTTCGATAAACCTAATAAACAACCATTACCAATATTCAACCATGCTTTTGGGGGATATTCAACCTGTATAACATGCTTTTGGGGGATATTTTTACTTCTGACATTTTTTACTTTTTTACCTCTGACATTTTTACACCGAGCCATACTTATAGTACTTATCAATTTGCTGTTTTAATCCTGTTTTACACAGCAATAGTGACAATCATTTGACCATGTTACAACGCCTAGGACACGTCTCGTCTACTGGTAAGATCACGTGGTTATCTTCCATTATCATCACCACTTCTTGTATGTTAGACGTGGAATTGTTTCCATTCGATGAGCAGCTTTGCACCATTGAATTTGGTCCATGGGCCAGAGACCGTACCAAGGAGGATATGGAATTCTTTTTTGACGAAAATGAGATGTCCGCACAGCGATACCGTCAAAACGGGGTGTGGGCCATCGTAAAGGATACAGCTCAGCGTAAACTTCGCAATTACTCTGGCTTTGCTGAGCCTATTGCTGAGATACATTACTGCTTTTGGTTCCAGAGGCAATCGAAGACGTATGTTTTGAGCATTGTCATCCCGTCAGCATTGCTTTCGTTGTCAACCATGCTCATCTTTCTACTGCCTCCCGAGTCCGGAGAGAAGATCTCATTTGGTATCACTAATCTCCTAGCTATGGTACTCTTTCAGGAGACTGTCCGATCTGCAATGCCACCGACAGGCTCACCGATCTTTGGTACATTTTTTTCTGTATACAATCTTAACATTAGAATAAGGATCTATCGCTCGACATGAAATTCTTTAAAAAGTGACTATGAGTTCATGGATTAGATTTTCTAAAAAATCAACACTCCAAATATGGTTGCCTTTATATCGGCCTTGGTAGAAAGACTTTTTCCAAGCTATAAGAATGTTTTCTTTTATTTGAGCATTGGTCTACATGTACATCCATAACCCACTACTTGTAGTGGCCAAAATTAAAGTGATTGAATCTTTGTGCAGCACAAAACGTACAACCATTCGGTAAAATGGTCTAAAATCAGACTATTACTTAAGTGATTGCAATCACCTAAGACGATTCGACAACTAATGGTCGTTATTTTCCCACTAAAAGCCATTTTCAAGCCATTTTCAAGCCCTTTCGTTTTTGAGGGAAGTTCTAAATTAGTATTGTCTTTCAAATGCCCTCGGAATTTAACTTTTCATTTTTGGCCTTTAAATGGCACATAGTAACTTTAAGATGATATTTAATTGCAGTTAAACCATTCACGCATGAGTGAGCGTAGCTATTTAACAACGATTGAGCCTCTGAAAGAAAATTGCAAAAATGGGGCATCCGGCCATTCAATTCTTGATAAGCATTGGAGGTATGATATGGTTCGTCCAAGATCTTTGGTAAAAAGGGTAGGTATTGTGACTGTGCTTGTCAAAGCCATGCAGTCCTCAGACTTATTTGACATCCGGAGCAACATCCTTCTCATTCTTTCTCATTCTTTCTTTTCATTGTTGAACAAGAATGTCTTAAAGATGCACATGTCCATTAACATTTGGATGGCTAATTGCTCTTTTTTGCATTTTTTCTAATGGTTAAATGAATGTGCCAATACAAAAATGAAAGTTCACAACACTATCTTTATTGATGTTGGTACAGTAGTGATTTTTCGTTAGATTAATATATATTTTGTTATATTTTAGTGAAGGTTTTTATGAAAGTCTTAAGTAATTTTGCCGAGTGTATAGTTACCCATTTCCATTATCAAGGAACTCTTTTTTTCTTCATATTCCCAGCTAATTACATCTGTGTCACAGTTGTGGTAGCCTGTACGTCACTGATCTTCGAAGCGATTGTCCTGCGTATGTACAACTTAGGTGATACCAGGACAGTACCTGCATGGCTGTACCGGCGTTGTTGTTCATCCATGGTGACAGATAGCGTGCCTATGGACACTTTCCTGAATTTAAGAGACAGAGGTAACGCAATACCTTCACCTAAAGATCGTCAGCCTCCTCAAAACGATTTTGATGGATTGATGGGTCGTCAGGCTGATGAGAAGCAAGAGAGCGGAAAGGAGTGTATATCAGGAAACCTCAGACAGGACAAGATAGAGGTGAATCACACTGAACATCATTCTACGCTGAATGCAGTCAGGATTCGTGGCACCTCGTCTGAGAATGCTGAGAAGTGGAAGAGAGTAGCTACATGGTTTGAGAAGAATGTGGCTATTCTATTATTGATTGTAGTCTTTGGGAACATGTTGGCTACTTGCCTGGTCATTGTAATCAAGAAATCAAAGGCATGAGCGGGATGAAATGCAATCATCAAACGTAGCATCACTTGAAATGCAGATTACCGTGTGCTTTCTGTAGAATAGTCCCTTACATATTCAGACCACAATTTCTATAATCCCAGTCGATGAGATTAGCTGTTGAAATGGCACGGGATCATATACTAAAGGCATATAAACAAACCGACTTTAAACCGACAGAATTATTATGGACAATATATTGACCTTTTAGGATAATATTTTTTAATTTGCTCTGTCTGTGGTTAATGTCGGGACGGTCTGCTCGGTGTGTGACCGGGGTATTACATATTATGTTACAAGGTATCGAAACATAGTTGATTATCTGCAACATAGTGTTGCGGGAATCTCCATTCGTGTACAGCGTCCATTTTCTTTTGTGGTTTACTTTTTATTTTGTTATCAAGCGTGGATTTCACTTCCATTGCGATATTGATAACAAAGTATGCCCAACTTTGGTATCTTCTTATCAAAAAGTTGTGACCTATGTGACCTTGAAACATTGTAACAAGTAGCTAATACTCTGTCTAATGATTTTGTGCTGCTACGGACGACTGAACAGCAGAATTAAAAAAAAGTATTGTACAAATTGTCTTGTACCACATTTGGGCTAAAGCAATGAATATGGGTCAAAAGCGATTAGGTGTGTGTTGTCTTATTCTAAAAATGATTGCTCACTTATTTACTTTGAAAAGAAAGGGTGTTAATACCACAAACGAAAATGGACGCTGCACTGCTAAAACCAGGGTAATTATGCTGCATTATTGTAGAGCGCTTAGAGACTTCAGATAAAGTAAGTGTTAGGCGCTATATAAGCAAATATAATTATTATAACAAACTAATCGTCAAGGAAATGCTTATTTACGAGCAAAATTTATGATATTCTTTCCTTATGATGATTAAAATGTTGTCTTCGTTCGCATCCCTCGTTTGAGGTAACCCTTCTCATTAGGTGTTACAAAATAGATTAAGTATATTTGGGATGTTAACTTTTTTTTTTATGAAAGTCTATTTCTAAGTCGATTTCGTTGCTATTTTCATATGCGTTCTTTCTTGCATTTGGACTAGGTAACCTTTAAGTTTGATGCGCAATTCGAGATAAACACCATATGCTCCTTACCCGTGTGAAATGGCGCAGCAGACAAGTGAGCGGAGAGAAATAAAATATCATGAGAGAAGACATTAGCAGGCTCTTCAAAATAATTTGAGGTTATCCTGTGGATTGAAGCAAGGTTCTGTGTAAGCTTAGATACTTTGCATCATTTTGAACAATAAAGCACTGACGCACGAGGCTTAATTTAACTTTTCAAAGGATATATGAGACCAAAGAAGCACATGCATATAGCCTGGACCCACATTCGTTCCATCAGCCCAAACTTGGTTCAAGGCGATATTGACTACAATTTTTAGAGATCCTGGTGCTCAGGCAGTCGTATAATGAATTTTATGAATAGGGTATTATCTGACAGAATAGAAGCAATTCTTTATCATGAAATAGATTTAAAAGTCATATTGGTTATGACTTTTTAATTAGGAGCTACCAAAGTTGGGAACACCTTTTTGTTGATAGGCACATCATGATAAAGAATCGAAGTTTTGGCGGTAAAGGTTAATGCCCTCAATATTTCTACAGTTGTAACCGCTTTCATTTGTAAAATTATGGTGTACCATATTCAGATAAGAGATTGAGGGAACGCTCTTTAATAACTATGCATACTTCTCATTCTGGTGTATTATATGTGTAGGCCTATATCGGTGCTTGCATATTAGGATTATTACCATTGTGCAAACAGTGCAATACTCAAATTGTTAGCAATTTTTACGGCAATATCGAATTCAAAATGTTTATCGAGTGTTCAAAAGTATTATTTAGCCTTTGTCAAGGCTTTGCAATAACGAATAGCACTTTCCCTGTTTTCTTTCTCTTTCACTTTCAATGTATTTTACTCTTCGGATTTCATCTCCCTATTCGCCATTCCTAACATCCTCGAACTTCAATCTACACCCCTCTGTAATGCATTTCCTTTCATTCTTTCAGTCTTTTCCCCCTCTATTATGCTTCTTTCAAATTAAATCCATAGTAACAATGGAGGTACCCCCGGTTTCCGACCTCAGACAACTACTGGTTGATGGTCAAAAAGAGACTGTAAATGATTGCAAGTTTTCGGCAAGGTGGCTGTTAGACCATATTGGTCTGCGGGGTAACCTCGCTAGTCGTAACGACCGCGTTTGATAAGGACCGCTATTCCTAACGTGGAACTTCAGACATGTGAAGGACCGCTATTCATAAGACGGAGAGGGGTTACTATTCATAAACGCGTAAGGACCGTTATTCATGAGGACACCTATTTATAATGTGAGATGAGGACCGCTATTTATAATTCACATCGAGCGCCATTACTCTCAAGGACCGCTATTCATAACACGAAGTGAGGGTCGCTATTCATAATACGAGAAGAGGTGATCCTCTTTTCTTATTATGATTAACGAACTCGATTTTGTATTATGAATAGCGACCCTCTTCTTCGATTATGAGTATCGGTCCTTTACGAATGGTGACGCTTATGAATAATGAACCTTTTCTCAAATTATAAATAGTGTTCCTTATGAATAGTATTCCGTATGAATAGCAGTCCTTATGAACAGCGGTCCTTAAGAATAGTGGTCCTTAAGCTATGGTCACAAATCAGAGCGGCGACCGACCGATTAGTAGCCTGCTCGGTCGCCCCTGGAATTAAGGCATCGCCCAGCGATTTTTTTTGAGAAGTCGAGCAGGGTGTAGAGCCCCAGCGGTGCCTGGGCGGTGCCCTGTCGATTTCCCTTCGGTCGCCGGTCTAGTTTAGGTCAAAACTGGGCGAAATCGCAGATTTTTTTCCGCGCGGTGTCCCGGCAGTGACCGACCGGTGACCCACCGATTCCTGAGCAGTCTCCCACCGGCCGCTGGCTGATTTTAAAGATATTGCACGGCGGCCGGACAGTGATCAACGGGGCTCCAAAATACGCTCGGTGCCCGGCCGGTCGCCGCCCGGGCACCGAACTAATCGAGCGTTTGCTGCCGAGCGATTTAGGTCAAAAATCGAAGCACCTAGGTCAAAGGCTGCCGACCGATTTTGGACTCGCTGCCCAGTGACCGACTGATCTCCCAGCGGCGACCGCTCGACAGCCTTTGATCTAGCGGCTTCGATTTTTGACCAAAATCGCTCGACGGTGAACGCTCGATTAGGTCGGCGCCCGGGCGCCGACCGCCTGGCCACCGAGCGTAGTCTGGGCGGCGAGTGAAAGTGAGCAGGTGCCGCCCGAATTTTAACTCCGCGCTAAAAATTCAGCAGCGACCGAGCGATGCCTTAAAAACGAGCGGTGCCTGGGCGGCCGCCGCTTGGTGACCGGGCAAAATTGGCTAAAAACTCGCCGCTCGGCCGCCGAGCAGGCTACTTTTGGGTTATGTGACCATAGCATAATGAATAGCGGCCCTTACGAATAGCGGTCCTCACGAATAGCGAGCGGATCCTTGGTCTGCTAGAAATGTTGGAGCTGAAGAAGAATTCCACCCGGATATGCGGTAGCCTAGAAATGTTTGAAGTTTTCATCAGTGGAACACAAGTTGGCAACACTGACGTATTTTGCGAGCTCCTCTCCTATTTGCTCTGTACAAACATTTTCATAAACTTTCCCTTTTTAAAGTTATTGATGTCGGAATAGATTTGTGGCATACAGCGGTTCTATTTGCAATAAATATATTCAGGGTGAATTAAAGATTGAACATTTTATTTAGGAAAAATATAAATTTTTGAGTTTTTTAGTACAAGACAAATGGGAGGGAGGTCGCAAGATACGTCACAGAGTTGTCAATTTGAATTTGATTGATCGCACCTTCTAAAATTATAACTGTTATTTTTATTGGTTTTTGCTTAAGCTTACACTGACCTGTTTCTTCCATTTTTCTCCTTCTATTACAACCATGTTATTATCAGAACGTACTTCCCCTTGAATGGAACGGAATCGGACCTTTGCCAAACTAAAGGGATCAGTAGAACATTTTCAATTCTCCCACTGTCATCATTCTTTATTTTCTCGCTTCATCCAGCGTGAACAAAATCTAGAGGATCACATTTGTGCTTGGGTAGACATGTGTGTATATTTGTGTGCCTGTGAGTATTTTCATTTTTCGTATACAATTTTACATCTTTCTTGTATATCATTAAAATTACTTTAAGTAATTATGTATCAAAATAATGTGCGATTGGAAATTCTAAACAAGTCTTATTTTGGACCTCTCTTAAGAATTTGTTGTTTGGTTTCGAAATATGACTAACATTATAGGGACCAGCTATCGTGTTATATAGCAGGTACATGTCAATTCAAAATTTTGCTGTTGAGAGCCCTCCAAAGTAATTTGTATTAAAAATGAAGTTGTGTCCATAACTAAATGCTTTACACCAGGGTGACATAGTGGCTTTGTTCTTGAATAGTACTACTTTATTTTCTCTAAACTATTACAGTTACATTCATCCATAACTATTCATAACATGTGGAGTTGACAAGAATGTAGAGAACAGATTAAATAGTGAACAATTATACATGTACATGATTCCATAGGTTTTTTTTTTTTACTTAATACCACTAACATAATATATGAATATATTCTTTTTTTTGCAAATAAAATGCCTTTTCACATGATAATGCACAATCAAACATAATTTCAGATTCATGTACAATTTATAAATAGGCAAATTTAGATTTTATAAGTATTTTTGTAGTTTCAAGGTGAAAGGAATGTACTGAATTGAAGATACCAATCATCATTACTACCACCAACATAATCGTCATATTTATCATTATCATCACATCTATCATTATCATCAAATCAATCATTATCACATCATCATCATCATCACCATCATCATCACCATTATCATCATCATGTGCGTAGTCAGCACCGTCTCTCATTGTGTCTTTACATTACATCTAAAGGTTCAAATCGTTGTTCATCGAGATCAAGATCCTTCATTATGCATCATTAACAACTTTATCAACTATTCATCATCATCATCATCATCATCACCGTCGTCATTATCACCACTATCATCATCACACTCGGCGTAACTGCATCATTATACATTCTATCATGTTCCTTTTCCATTGGAGACATTTCAGAAGATATAGCATAATTCAAATTGATATGTACATAACTCATCACAAATCAGTTACCCCATATCATATTGCTAGAGTATTTGCCTTCCCTTTTATACAAGAAACATGGGAATTAATTTCCTAGATATGATGAAAAAAACAATTAAATTTCGATTTAAGGGGGTTAATATGGAATGGCTTTTCAGCAGGTCTAGGGAATAAACTCGAGGAGAAAGGTCATCTGAAGTTGAAATAAAATCAGGAATGGACGTCGACAACATTTTAATTGACCAAAGTGTACAATTTTTCTTTAAGCCTAAACAAGGTCAAGGGACATTAATTTTGAGAAGTTTTCCAATAAACATTCCCCTCTTTTGATTATAAGGGTGCAAACATAAATTGATTAGTTGGCTAAGTCTCTCTCTCTCTCTCTCTCTAAGTGCCATATCGATTAACTTTTGCGATCATGCTGTTCCACAACCCTCGGTTCCTAGCCTTCTGTATTAGTACCACTCCTAGTTCTTTCACTCCTCTCTCTTCCAACAATTTCTGCAGACTGTCCATCCAAAGTATCCTCCTTCTTCCCCTACTCGTTCTTCCCACAATTTTCCCTTTCAAAGCAAGATTCTCTAGGCCTTCTTTACGTGTAATGTGACCCATGAACTTCAACTGCCTAATCAACATCTCACGTATCGTTTTCCTTTGCACTACAGCTTGTGTAAGAACTTCCTCATTACTAACTCTGTCAGTCCAGGGGATTTTCATCATTCTTCTTAAGAACCACATTTCGCAACTTTCCAAACGCTTTTTAGTATCAGAGGCTAAAGTCCACGTTTCACTACCATACATAAGTACTGGGAAGATATAACAATTCAATACTCCTATTCTGGTCCTCATACTCATTGTTCGATTTGTCAGAATTTTGCCTAGCTTTGAAAATGAAGATTTAGCGAGATCTATCCTTCTCTTGATCTCTGTCTCACATCTGGCATTCTCGGTGATCATGCTGCCGAGGTAGTTAAATGAGGAGACTTGTTTAATAATCTGTTCTTTCAGTTTCAAGTTACATTTTGGACTGCTCTTCTTAGAGACCACCAGGCACTTTGTCTTTGTATAGTTGATCTCTAGTCCCATTCTCTCACTTTCTTTTACAACTACATTCAGGAGACTCTGGAGATCTTTCTCTAATTCAGAAAATAAAACAGTGTTATCAGCATATCTAATATTTCTCTATATCTTCCCTATTCCATCAAATCACGTCAAAACATACAAAGAACACCTCCTTAATCTAAATTCCCGGTAGGCCTTCATCCATCTTTTCATATGCAAACGATTCAGCAGTTGGGTCATGGAATTTCTTAACGGGCGTCATCAGTGGGTCCTGGATCTGGTCAAAGAGAGCACTTAGTTTGGTCTGTATACCATTCGAGCCACTGGGTCCAACAAACCTACTGATGTCAAGAGGATTGGTCATCACAAACAAAGCTCGAACCACAGCACCGTTGTGGTCCTGCAAGCAAATTAATAAAACACATACACATAGTTTGAATTCTGAAACCAGCCTTTTTCAAAGACAAATTAAAAATCAGTAACAAATCTGCTGATAACCAATCAGAAGCGAGGATTTTAGTAGCTTTTAACAAAAACTATCATTTGTCACTGATGACAAGTTTTGTGAAACACCCCCCCCCCCCAGTCTTAAAATTGACGATAATAATTCAATTCAATTCAATTCAATCAAGGTTTATTAAAGTCATGAATGGCAGTCATAGACTGAATCGTACATGCTAATAAAGTAGTAATAAAGTAGCCTTAAAAGACCATTCATGGTTTATGGATGCGGTTAAAATTCATTAATGTCAAACCATAAAAGGAAGAGACCAAACATCGCAAATTTCAAACTCCAATTGAGATCCTTAAATAAAATAATAAATACAAATTCTCTGCCTAAATATGTTGATAGAATATATAATTTCCTCGTAAAATGTGGGCCATCATGGAAATGATAGGAGAAAGATTACCCTTTCAACGACTACGTTGGCTGCAATAAGTTCTCTATCATCGGCACCAAGCGTTCTGAGGTGACACAGAGCTCTACGGAGGTCCCGAACCATCAACCTTTCCTGTCTCTCATCCAGATTTCCTCCAGAACTCGTGAAGAACGTAGTAATGGGTTCGATACGTTTGTGCTGCTTCAAAGAAGTATGTGGGATGATGCAGTAATCTAGGAGACGTTCTTCTCTTTGTGTTAGCACAACGCCGTACTTTGTGGTCTGTGTAAGACTCATCGAATCTGTAATGCAAATAATGTAGGGAACTCGCAAAGAAGTCATCATGTCATGCATTGAGGTCAATATGCCGTTTTAAATGCATCGTGCAAATTTATGAACTACTTATTTGTTGTTACCATAATAAAGATATTTTTTACCCTTGTCCAAACTGATTTAAAAAATAATCGGAATAGACATATCTTGAAATCTTCCAAACTTCCACATTCTTTGTATTGATCAACATGCATGGTCTATATTTTTTTTCATTTCATGCTTCATTTTTGGAATGGGCTATTTCATGGGCCTGTGTCATTAATAATACCACCCTAATATTAGACTATACTGAATAGTGTTCAAAATTATCCTAACAAATTAGTGATTCCGAGTGAACAAGGAAGTAATATGATCTTTACCAGTATTCTCCCTGGCCTTGCGTCGCCTTTGAAGGACTGTTGAGAGTGTGTAGAGATACGGGTTGAGTGCGGAGTTGAGGGGTAGGATGAAGACAGCTGTCCAGGCATAGATGTCAGCTGGGATCTGAACCAGATTAGAACTAGCCAGAACGCCCATGATAATGATAGGCATCCAGCACACAAAGTCTGTTCCAACAACCAGCGCCATCTTAGTTGTCAACTGCATCTGTTCCTTCATCATGGAGTTGCTAGCAGCCCTAAAACATTAATTGTAGAACCATTAAGGAACTGATATCGACAGGGGCGCCGACGGACAGAGGGAGTGGGATCACTGTGGAATTAAACATGTTTAGCCTCAACGACATCGGTAATTAACTTGTCCCTTAATCTCAAGGATCGACATATATAAGCACGATTTATTCGAAGAAGTTACGGTACTCTAAACACATTGGCATAATGACTACTGATCAGTACGAACGTATACATGTATATACAATCATGTTAACCCATGATTATGAACAAAGCTGCACTCGCCGACATTTGTATGAAATTGAAAGCAATAAAAAACATGTTCATACATCTTGGCTTTCATGAATCCTAACTGAAAGTGTGGTTTGCATATATATTTAGGCCATATACATGTATATTAATTCAGTCCACGTCCTTAACGTGTCGCTCATAAAAGCACAGTTTACACACAAACACACCCACAACGCACGCACGCGTAATCGTCCACCCACACACACACTTACCCTAAACTTTTGATTCTCAAGTGCGACCTCCTGACACTGATATAGATGACGAAGTAACAGAGGAATGTCAACATGAAGCAGATGAAATTTGTACAGATGAAGACAACAATCGAGTATTCCCATCCTGATCCTGCTAGACGATCGCTGGTTAGAGGAAGTGCTAGGCAAACGCTGGACTTTCCGTAGAATTCGCTAAAGTATTCTACAGGCAGTGCTGGAATTATACTGAGGAGCAGCGAAAAGGTCCATGATGTGATGACCAGGATGTAAGCTGACCGGAGAGTGAGATGGAGTTCGTTTTTGAGCGGGAACACGACAGAGAGGAAACGATCAATGCTGATGAGCATGACGAGCAGGACGGACACCTCGCTTGATAGTACAGAGAGAAATCCAGCCATCTTACATGTGACGCTGCTTGTCCATACTTGGGCATGAAGCGCGTATTTGCCTCGATAGTGTGAATCTGCACCCGCTATTATCATCATGTAGAGACCCATCAGTAGATCAGAGATAGCAAGGTGTGTGATGAACATCACCTAATCATTCAAGTAGGATTAACAAAAACAATATTTATATGTTAAAAAATTTTATCACATAAAAATTACGTTTATGATCCAAACACAAGAATATGATGGGTCCATTTTATACCACGTAGATGTAAATCGATAGAATGCAATCGAGAACGTGAAATTAAGACAATAACATCAAATGATAAATCAAGTTTTAGGTCACTGATTGTTTTGATTTTGTTCAATTCCGTGATTCTGTCAGTACCCATGGTGTGTAATTTTTAGACTGTAATTTTCATCATTCAAATTACAATAATCTTTTAACGAGTATATTTTGACACGAGTCGTATCTATGAGCGTTAGTCAATTATTTAATTTTATAGAACCACAAGAAAAAGGCTCTTGTGATCTGCAAATTTAGATCATGTCCTTTGGCAAGACACTGTGCTACATTTTCCACACTCAACCCAGGTACCTGGCATGAATTAAATCTTTGAAATGCCAGAGCGCCGTTATGGCAGCACAGTTAAAGCCGGGGTAATAATCTCCAAGTTTGGAAGCACTTGGTGATTGTAATAAGCGCTATATAGAAACTGAGTATTATTATTATAAAATTATTCATTACAAAACAAGATAATGAGGTAAGCATTAAATCACCTGGATGCGATTTTGACCAGCTTGTTTTCGTCGGACGAAGCGAGCACCTAAGGCCAAGGCGTTTCCGACCAAAGCACTAAGACCCAAGATCCACATGAATGCCCGAAGTGAAACGTCTTTAAGAAGATCAGCACATGATGAAAACCGGTTCGTGTATCCCTCACATGAGGCAGTTTTTGCGAGACAACAAAAGCCAAACTCATCGGTTCTTCTGTAATAGACAGAAGTGAAGAATAAATATACATATAATCGAGACAAGTTAAAAGGTAATCCTTACATTGTAGAAGTAAAGGAGGAAATGTTAGACCTGTCCACCTTCATCTGTTTTGGTATATATCAGCATTGCAAGTTTTAAAATACATTTTAAAAAGAATCTTTCTAGTTTAACAATTCCGTTCTACATGTTTGATATTGGCCCGAATTAGCTGAGCTTCATTGTAAAGGTGTTGAACTTTCTCCTACCGTACACTCCTTATCTTTACCTGGCTCGAGAGTGGTAAATGGAGAGCAATATTTATATTACCACAATGAACTTTAATGTACCGCGGCAGAAATTCAAAACCTCTTGAATTTATGGTTTAATGGCGAATCAGTTTCCGCAAAACAATGCAAACATCTTTCTATCAGTAGGAAATGATTTCAATATGATTATATCCAAAATGTACAAATAATGGTACAGAAAAGAGGAGCAGGAGTAATTAAAAGAAAACAGAAAGTACCAAATTATGTGACCTAGTTGTTTTTTCAGCTATGTCAGTCTGGAGACAGATCAAATGATTGATAGATATATATGTTTTTTGATTAACGACCTTGGGGGCAGAGTCTTCATTAAAGACCTTATCCGATGAAAATAAAACTTGATATTAATGGAAAACGGAATGAATGTAGAATACAAATATCAAGTAATTATAAGTATTTATCCTTCCATTATTGCACAAAAGCAAATTAAAACCTCATTTTCCGCACCCCTCCAAATTAAGGGTCAACAGGGGTCAAATTTGCCAAAGTTACAGTGACGACATAACAAGTGGACCCGAACGGTTCACGTATATAGCTGACGCGATGAGCCGTGCTTAATTAATGTTAAGTCATTGTGAATATGCGTACTCCACATAAGATGATGTCATCAAGTCAATAGCAAGTTTTTGCGTCGACAACTTCCGATTTTCAAAGCTTTAGATTTTGAGTTTTCAGAGAGATGATACTCTCCTGAGCCCTGACAGACACTAAAATGGCATATAATTGATATAATTGTAATATATGGTTTATAAGCTCTCCGTTGGTATATAATTCATCGGCGATTTCATTATTCAGTTCGGAATTGGTCTTTAATGTTCAATGAAAAAGAATAAGATTAATCTCCTGAAGTATACCTTTCTCTACTGTAGTTTATATAAATACATATGAAAAATGATGATGTGACTTACAATCTTTTCAGATTAACAAGCGTCTTAAATGCCTCGGCGACTTCTGCATTACTTGATTTGATGTTGATTCCAAAAATGTCACTAAAAATTAAAAAAAAGAAAAGAAAAGAAAAATGAAAATAACCTGAACATACGCTGCCAATATTGGAATGACGGATCAATCCTTGGAAATATCCATAATGGAATGCTATTATCATACCCCACATTTCCAACGTGTGTTTGATGACCTTTTGTGCCATTACACCTAATGGAAAACTATTTTTAACTTCAAATATAACGGTATTTTACAATGAACAAACACAAATATGTAACTTGAACATTAACAGTATTCAGTTACATCAACAGTTTTATTTAAAAAAGTCAAATTAAGACTTTTAGTCACGATCAAGCCTTCCATGAAAACTTTGGATTTACTTTTGTCTATTTATCAGTTCCTTTGCAGTTAACGCTACATAAAAAAAATATATATATTTCTAAAAACTTTGATAAAACAATGTTGAATAACCCATGCAGACTAAGAGGTTTTACACAGAATGTAAAAGTGGGTACTGAAAAGCGTATGATCTACAAATTCTCTTAATTACAGGGGGGGGGGGTTATGGTTTGCAATGGGTGGTACACGAAGAAGACACATTGCCACTATAACTATGATTTCTCTCATAAGATAGTTATCAGCTTAGTCGTTTTTACTTACAACACGGATAGTCTTGTAAGATTCTGTAACACTGCTGCTTCAATAGCTAACACTGAGTTCATCGAGACGTTCCTGTGAATGAAAGGCAGAAAAGTACGAAAATTGTAGTTACCTACGTTAGAGGTATATAAAATAAGGAAACCTCTGTGAGGTAGTATTGGAATAATGCATCAATAACATAATCATTATTGTAACATGGCTGGTACCCAACCATTTGACCATGACGATTGACCGGAATATTTGGACATGTCCATCTCAAAATGATGCTCTGGGTTAATCTGTAGATTTCTGCTCAAATATTAACATTGTCTCACTCTTTGACTAAAAGGAAGAAGCAATATCAGTAACAATAATTGCTTCGACCAAAGGTTTGCACGCTGTTTCTTTTCTCCTTCAGCTTAAACCTTGAACAATCGACTGACTTGATGTCTTATTTGTATTTGAATGTAGGTGAATATGTATAAGTAGACATAAGACTGTCACTATTATCACTGAATACAAGTACAACGTAATACTGAAGTACATGCATTGTGGAGACTAAAAATTGAGTTTAAATACTTACAGATTACGCAAATTCCTTGTCTCCAGAAAGGCTTTTTCTGGTATCTCCCTCAAATCGGTGTCAGATATGTCTCTATGGAAATTAAATGGCAAATATTAAGGATATATAAGGTGAAATATCTTAAACCATACATCGGTTAAATTGTGAGAGTTATCATATTTATTGCAACATACGCCTTCGATTTTTGTAGCTTCATCTTACAAGGTATTCTCGATTCCTTGAAGGCGATTTGTTCCTTGTTTTTGTTCGTCATTTCGTTTTCCGTCATTTTATCTGTCCAACTATATAAATGCAGTGAGAAATAAAATGAGAAGGCCTCCTAAATGATTCCAGTGATGTCTTAAAATGCTTAGCACCGCTATTAAATATACCTACACATATTAGGAATATAAATGAACCACCTTGTTTCCAGATTATAAAGTGCATATAACACATGGGCCTAAACAAAATCCTTAACAAGCAAAATATCTTTCGTGTTCTCAGTGGATAAAAGTCATAATCATTTCTGGGTTTAAGGGGGAGGTTGAGGCGAGTGACTGTGCCCTCTTAAATCATCCAATAGTGACGGGTGGTATACCAAAATCCAGGGGTCGCAACCTGTGACCCTCTTATTACACTGTATGAAAAATGTTAGCATTTGATAAAAAAATAACTCGAATTAAATCATTAACTTACAATTCAACCAAGTAAATATAGTCTGAAGGCCAGAAAGACACAGTTTTGGCACGATTATCACCAGTTTCATTCATGCTTCGAGTGAAGATCCTTGAATTGGATTCCGCCCTTAGTTCTAACTGAACATCATAGTTGAGTGAGATGACACTACAATGAAAGTAACAAAATCCGTTCACTATTAGTTAGTCAGTAATATCAATAATAATAATACTAATATTCCGTTTATGCTACGGTCACAAAGGTTCGTACGAACGATAATTTCGTACGAATCTCCTTGTTTTTCCATTATCTTCCCGAATTTCCATTGTCTGAAAATCGTTCGTACGGCGTTCGGAGCAGTTCATAATGGCATTTGTGACCGAGGCTTTATATAGCGCTTAATACAAATGTCTCTATGCGCTTTACAGATATAGTATTACCCCGGTCATTGGATTCAGTGCTTGCTCGCACACACTGTGCAAAATCTCTACTCCCTGGGGAGTACAAGCGCCACCTGCTAATCAAACCACAATAACTTTCGCATCCTACCGGGTACCCATTTAACCTGGGTGGAGAGTGGCAAATGTAGATCAATGTCTTGCCAAAGGACATTAGTGCCGAGGCGGGACTTGAACCGCGGACCTTGTGATCCACAGTCCAGTGACATATCCACTCGACCACGACACCTTAAACACATAGAGAGAGCAGGAGATTATTTTGTTTACATATTCTATAACTAAGCAGAACTAATTATTTTCAATTTATGTTTATGATTATGTTAATTCCCAATTTCGTTGTTACCTAAAGTACTCTAATATTATTCATGCTTTGTTGGAAAAACATACATGAGTAACTGGACCATTGAATTCATCTGTCTGAGAGTTGAACATTGTGAACTTTTGAACGTATCAGCAAACTTAACCCAGTTTGGTTAGTCGAATCAGATATAAAAAAAAAATCGATAACAAATAAGAGAGTTGGACTTAAATGTCAACAATACTTGCATCTTTAATATTTAATTAGTTACTGCACATAGGATATATCGGATGGACATGTGATTTACAGCCAATCATCTGTCCAATAGAATTAGTCAATACTTGACACACAAATCCAAGCTGATGTTAGCTCATTTTGCTGGCCTGTTCTTGCTCGACGAAAATTGACATTGATCTTATCTTGCCAATAAATACTTGTTAGGCAAAGATTTTTGTGATTTGGTTTATTTACGCAAATGGACTATGAATAACAAAGCAAGTGGAAATCGTACATAACTTACATCTTTCTGGTGTTGTGTGGAAACCTTACATGTCCGTTAGTTGATACAAAATTGCACCTCATGGTGAGACCAGTACATTCACACTCACTGGGGCATACAACATCTGAACAAATTAGAGATTGAAGAAAACTGTATCAACATTTTGTTATACCGTTCATTACTGAAATGTACAAACAGGTATCCGATGAATATGAAATTCATCACCAGGGCCTTTGTTTTATTTACTTTCAGAACTAACTGAAACGAATTGATATTAGGATCCCTTTTGAAAATATTATGTCTGGTTCTATACCAAAGTTTGTTAAAATGTAAACATATAAATAAAAAAGGACGATAACTGTTTAAAAAGTCCTGGAAGAATAAGACTCACATATCGTATGTAAAACAACACAAGACGATGAAGATGATATCGCATATTCCCAAACTACACGTACAGGTAGTATTCATGTTTTGGAAAAGGACAAAAGGATATCGAGTACACTTTTGCATCCGAACCACAGAAAAGCAGAACATTGTAGAACGCAATGGTTACATAGTTATTACTACAGTACATATACGTTTGAACCATTTATTACTTCTTTCTATCTATACTGTGGACAATAAATACTTGATATGTCATCATCTTACCACAGAAGAGCTCATCATCTCCATCAAGACAATGCTTGATACCGTCACACATCTCAGATGGAGCCACACACTTATTGTAAGTCCGACACTTGTAGGAGCGGGAGGGGCATGGCGCAGGATATCCAAAGTTGAAGTCTGCAAATAAGGAAAGAAGGTATTCCGGGAAATGCATTCTAATTCTATTTCTACGCAGATTCTTGATAGACCGTTTGGTATATATCGCCGGGTGTTTTGAACGTCACACCCGGTGTATTAAGTGTACATCACCTTTTTTTTAAATATTAAATTCGTACTTTCAAACTTCCAAAATGAAACGTAAACTGACACATGCCTGGCACCAAAGAGGATCTCAAAAACAATACCCAAAAAACAATTGGTAAGAAACAGATGACGCTGGACCAATGAGCTTGTAGCAGCGAAAGTAGTCACTGAGCCCATATACAGCTTTTGATATCTTGTAACTATGTGTGAATATTTCTGTTTCTCAATGCACCTGGGAAAAACTTTTCCTATTTGGTTAAAAGAGAAGGTACTCTTTTATAGGAAAGATCAACATCAATGACAAGGCGCATTCTGAATATTGCAAACTTGAGCTGACTTGAGTTAGAGAGAGCCTTTCACGCGTTGAAGGTAATTCTTATTTCCAATTTTTGTTTTAATCGTTTGAAACCAGCCAAATTATGATGTATTGTGGGACATGGCTGTCGACACATCGGGACATTGTGAACAGCAGATGGTAGTATACGAAAATCTGAAGTAGTGTTAGTAGAATACCCTGCCTTGAACTGGTAAAATACTTTGTTAAAAAAGAAACACTCTTATAATTATCTCACCTCCACATCCTGCCTCATCTTCACCGTATGGACATTGGTTGATAGAATCACACCTATATCGCAGAGGAATGCAGTAGGATGATGGACACTTGTAGTGATAGGCTGGGCATTCGAAATTGGCTGAAAATCCAAATTGATCAAAACAAAATATCACATTATTAATATTTTTGGTCGTATCAAGATCAATGACAAGGGCAAAATTTTACAATAAAGTGGGGGAAGGGTCATACATAATTTTGTTATACGATTTTCTACATAAGTTGCTTTCATTTACGTTGGATGAAATGAAACTGTTGTTTCTTATTCACTTCGATAACCTTACATTGCAATAATGTTTTATATGAGTAGCCCTACTACACAAGACTTCGAAAACAAAACAAAAAATGCCCTGAACATGGTTTTTAATGTGATACTTTTAGCACATTTAATTAGTTAAATGTTTCCTAAGAAAAATGGTCAAATCAAATATTTTGATGAGCTGTTCATTAACACCTTTTTTCACCAAATCGAATGCGAAACATCAAGAAGCAAATGTCTTTGCAGCCTTACCACATACACTGTCCCGGAGATGTGATACATCACGGCATCCTTTCACATAGCCTAGCTCATCCAAATCAAATATACATTTGTGGGATGTAGTAATGCATACCCCACTTAAACAGCGGAATTCATCCGGTTCATTACAAGGAACGTCACCTGAGAGAAGCACAAAAAGTAATACCTTCATCATCTTGTTAAGCCTCTCATTTTAATGACTTTCGATCACCTTATAATCGCAATCAATACACCCATTTGACACATTACATACATTTTGAATAATGTGGGTCATCAGTATTAGTTGTTTAGGTGACGGAAATGCAAGGAGTTTTTCCTAACTTACCTAATTTTCTGATTGGCAATCTTTATTTTCTCCGCACTCCGAGACTTTTTGCAATAATAATAATAATAATAATATTTATAAAGCGCAACATATCCATCTCTAGAGATGCTCAAGGCGCATACAAATAATTTAAATTAATACTCAACATACTTAAGATTAGAGAAATATTAAATGTTAACTTGCATTAGATCATACAACTTCATGGTGCCGAGGTACATGCAATGTGGCACAGTGTGATTGTTTGTTTGCATGCATTGTATAAAAAGAACATTGATATTTAACAATATGCATTGAGCATCAGGTGAGTTTTAAGCCCAGTTTTGAAAGTAGAGAGAGTGTTGGCAGTCTGAATAGAGAAAGGTAACTTATTCCACAAATAAGGAGCTGCTGATGCAAATGCTCTACCCCCAATTTCTTTGGTACGTATTTCTTTAAGTCTAATATTATGTGATGAACGTAAACCAGAACAACCTGCAGAGTGAGGTGATAGAAGGATGAAATATATTCTGGAGCTAAATCATTTAGTGCACGATAGGTTAAGAGTAGAATTTTATAGATCACACGCTGTTAAACAGGGAGCCAGTGCAGAGATTTAAAGATAGGAGTAATACAATGTATATGATGATCTTCTGGTGTTAGTTACAAGGCGAGCAGCAGCATTCTGAACTTTTTGCAATCGGTTAATTTGGTTGGCGGGTAGTCGAAAGAGTAATGAATTGCAATTATCAAGGTGCGAACTGTTGTGTGGATTGAGGTGAGAGATATTGCCTAATTACACGGAGATTACAATTGGCCAGTTTAACACAATTTGAAACATGGGTTTCAAGTGACATGGCAGAATCAAAGATCAAGATTCCTAGCTTGATGTACAGGAGATACAGTGGCAGAACCAACTTGAACATGAGAAACCTTAATTTTATTGAGCTGTCTATGTTGCCAAGAAAAATGAATTTTGTTTTTGCATCATTTTGAATCAAATTCCTCGTATAAAACCATTCTGAGATTTATTTGGGGTTCAATTGTCTCTACATTTTGCACTGAGCTATGGTTTACCAACAACACATTATATTGAAAATAATATCACTAGTGATATTCGTTAGTCTTAAGAAATAAAATACTAATTTATAATTTTACTACTTGAATCACTTCTATACTACTCCTACTACTACTACTACTACTACTACTACTACTTCTACTACCACTACTACTACTACTACTACTACTACTACTACTACTACTACTACTACTACAGCTACTTCTATACTACTAATAACACTACTCTATATGATGGATGTTATCATGTCTTATTATATCATCTTTTACATTTATGAATAATTTACCTAAACATAACTAGCCTGAACATTGATATGAATCAAGCCTTCAAAATACCACCAATAAAGTCCTTATCTGTACAAGAATTTTAAGGAAGTAATTGAGGAAGTTCAAGTAAAGATTAAACAAGAAGCAAAGTGTTAATAATAATTTTTCTTACCACAATCCGTTTCATCTTCAAAACCATTGCCTATGCAATCCACCAGTCCATCGCATTTAGCATACGAAGGTAGCCATGTTCCGCTATAGCACTGGACGTTCCCCTTCTCTTCATATTCTGTACGTATAGATAATATTTATGAGAAGATAATAATTATCTTAAGACGATGACATATACACTACGTTATAACGAAGCAAATGGGAAATAGCAATACAATGACAGGCAAGATACTGTAACGATAAAAACTAAACAAAACAAAACAAATGAAAATAAACAAACAATGAAAACGCACACTTAAATAAACGTATACTATTTCTTTTAAAATATTACAATCTTCAATTCTTCCATTCCATTAATTCCGAAATAAGGCTTTACAATCGTATGCTGTGCCTCAAATGGCATTTTCATATGTCATCACAAAAAACATAATCGCATAAATACCAGCTGAATTTTGTAAACGTTATATCGTTGCAATATAAAAAACATAAATAAATTATTATAAACAGTCAAATTGTTTGTTTCAATTCATGAATGCATGTGAAATAAATAAAACCCAAAGCTAATGATACATTGTAAAATCAAGAAAGGACGTTCTTCAAACATTTGGTTAATCTCTAAAATATTATCCCGTTCGACGCTTTAGACATAATTATCAACCTCACAATTTGACCGGAAAAACAAACTTGTTTGACTTGCTCAGAAAGGAGAAATAGAGAATCAGAGTATTCGAGAGAGATAGCGGTGATATTTTGTAGGCATATCACATTTTGGTTCATTATATTATTAGTAATGTAGTGGGTGTGTTCTTGTATCACATACTATCTTGGCAATGCAGCTCGTCTCCTCCTTCTGCAGTCGGACAGTCTACTATCAAGTTACACCTCTTCCTGGTATCGATACACTTTTCAACATCACCGCAAAAGAATTCGCCATCTCTGCATTCACTCGGGAAGACTAACAAACATCCAATATTTGAATTAATCAATCGATTTGACTGATTGTTTATTTGTATCGAGAAGTCGATTTAGTCAGTATCGCTGGGAGGCCTGCATTAAACCTTACACAAATCTACGCCACTAAGAACTTTCATAACGGCGAATCAGAATTTAAAAAACCACAACATATTTAAGGCTAAATATTACTTTACAAAATATTACAATATTGGAGGCAGGTGTGGTTTTCAATAATGTTACTTTCTTAACAATAGCTTCCTAGATCAAATCTAATGCCAATATTCTGTTAATCAACGAGTAAAGTGAACTATAACAAAAGGTGGTAACTGAATCTTTATTTTCTAGAATATGAGAGTGATACCGTTTCTGTATCGTTCCATGTCATGATTGTTAGATTACTTAGAGGTATTTTTTAAATGAAGTAAAATACAATCTGTGAACCAAGTAGTCATATTTGTATTTTATATAAGTTTAATCTTGATTTCGAGTTTAGAGAAGACAAGCATTTTCATGAAATTATGAAAGCGAATGGAGTGGAATAAATAAAAGAGAGGGAAAGTGTGTGTGAGGTAGTTACAGAGGGGAAAAGAGAGTTACATAGAGAGAGAAAGAGAGGGCTAAATAAAGAGAAATATTGAGAGAGTTACATAGAGGGAAATGGAGAGAGAAGAGGAGAGGAAGAAAGAAAGAGAGAGAGAGAGAGAGAGAAAGAGGGGGAGAGGGAGAGAGAAAGAGGGGGTGGGGAGAAAGAGGTCTTACTACAATCAAATTCATCGGAGCCGTCTCTGCAGTCACTGATGTGATCGCAGACAAAAGATATTGAGATGCACTGTCCACCATTGAGACACTTGAACTGGTCTGTCACACAGTCTTCAACTAGACAAATAAACAAAAAATAGGAATTAAAGACAAATTAATGATTATTCACCTTGAATGTAGTTTATGGATACAGAGTTATATGTTTTCAAAACGGTCCATAGTGGGACGTTGGTTCTCACAGGTATAATTCAAGTTCCACATTCGAAAATCGTTCATTTCTGTTTATGCGTACTGGCACATTTTTTACCAGGGGAGGGGCAAATTATGTCATGCCCAAGACCCAAACTTCCAGTCTCTAAAAAATGTTGGCGAGCATGAAATTTTTTTTATCTGTGGTTAGGGCCATAATGTGGACAGTCATTGGAATTGTCGATTTAGCACTTTAGATTTGAACTCGAGTTCACCTCTGGAAATGAACTCATGGTTTCACGAATAACAGAAGTGAATAGTGCTTGCAGTACGAAAAGTGAAAGCTTGCCAAAAACAGTCTTTTCCCCACCATTTGTTAAGTTATATCACCAATCAGATAAACCTTTTCAGTTCTTCAAATGTTAACGTGTGATTTTAATTTGCTTTTCCCTTTGGTTATCTCACAAATTTCAAGTAAAGAAAGAGAGAAAAATCTTCAATATATCGTAGTAAAGTGTTCAATGAATGGATACTTTTTCTTCTTCCGCCGAATCAATTTTACCTATCAAGCCTCAATAGGCTTTTCATGATGGTCCCTTGTTTTCTTTGTGTATTTTGCATAAATTAATTCAATTTACCTTGTTTTTTACCATTAAAATAATTTGTTTATAACAACATATTTTAATGTTTGCATGCATTTTTGAAACTGGAAAAAAAGAATAAAGACTGAAGTTGAAAACAAAATTACCATATCCGTCAAAGGATTCTTCTTCGTCCGATCCATCGTAACAATGAGGGGTCTCATCGTACTGAAAAACACGTTGTACACACTCACCAGACCTGCACTCAAAAGTGTTGTAGGAACAGTTAGGCGCCATTAATGGAGCACTGAACAACACGAGCTCAGATGTTTGGCGACGTTCTGTATTGAAAGAAGAAGACATCTATGAACTAATCTATGGAAGATTTGGACACATTGAACAAATACGACCCGAGCTTGAAAAGCAAGGAAGATATATGAATCAAGTAAGGGCAAATTTGGGGACCAATTTTTGTTTATAAACTAGATATCCTACTTTACTAATATTGTGTTCTTGTCTAGATTTTCTTTGAAACAAAATTCTTTTGGTCGTTATATACTACCGCTTATTAAAAAAAAAAAATTAATGAAACTTTATCGATTCATTTGCTTTTATACATAACTAAACTTGGATTTTTTTTAAAATCACCCAATATTATGAACATTACAGCAAAACCTCAAAATATTTATTTGTTAAGTGGAGAATAAAAATGTACACCGTAATTCGTTTACAGCATTAATTAGATTGGATTGACTAGGCTATAAAAAAGAACCCGACACGCAGATAAATAATGAAAGTTGTATCTTGATAATAAATTATCAAGATACAAATGTCATGAATAATGATAACATTATACGAAATAATACCAAATTATGAAAATGTATTTATCACAACATGAAAAATAACTTTAAAAAAAAAAGAGTAAATTTCACGTTTCTGCCATCAAGTGTTACCGTGTATATACATTTCATCTGAGAAAATTATTCAGCGAAAAGCATACAACATCTCAGAGCGCTGAAGTTGTGATGTAAATCAATCAGAACGAATTGCAATCAATAACACGTACTTCGGCCTGTTGATCTGGTCAAGGTGCTCATTTCCATCTTGCATATGACAGCATCTGCACTATCTGATGCACAGGGTATATCATGCCAAAGACTACTGAATCGAATCCTGGTCAGATCTATGACGGTACACTTCTCGATTGATCCTCCATCCGGCTGTTTCTCCTTTTCCTCCTTGTCTTCTTCGTAACTGTGAAGAAAAATGTATTGGAACTGAACAATATTCTTTTCTCCACTGTTTTAGAAGTCTAAAAAAAGGGATACATACAAGGCGATTGGTTTTGAGTTGACTAGGTATTGGTGGTTCCCCTAGTTAGCCTAAGATTCATTACTATAACCGATTTAATTTCATGATCATACACCCATAAGTCTTTGAAAAAAAATGTTTTCAATTAGCCATATACTCTATGACTTTGACTCTATGAATTAATTTCTTAAAATGCTAGAGCGCCACAATGGCAGCCATGCGAAAGCCGGGGAAATAATATTTATTGTGGAACGCCAGGAGTGTCAAGTCTGGCAGATATGACCGCTATACAAGAACCTACAATTATTATTATTATTATTATATTATTATTATTATCAAGATGCCTATCATCATACACTATGAGGACTTAACAGTGTTGCCCTAACAAATGAAGATGTTACGTTATTGCACGTCGATAGGTAGGGTAAGCTGTGATGTTTGTCCAACCTAGAAATACATAATATATGCAGTTTGCATTCTGACTATTGATCAATAACATGTGAATGAAGTAAATCGTATCGAGGCACTTCACAAAAACGTATGCATTTAAATTGTGTTCAATTAAGAAAATGGCCTATTCCGATATGACAAAAATAATGTTTACAATCCAATGTGGAATTATTTTACCTCCTAGGGGAGAACCAGTCAGTGTAGGTCATGGGTGATCCATTCGTCCAACGAAACATACTCGCAGAATTTCGTTCACCAAGACCTGCATGAAACACGAAAATAACAATAGATAGATGTGTTATCCGTGAATGAAACATCACCAACTAAAGATGTTTTATTCGGTTTGTCTGAAATAGAAAATAAAATCTACCTCCATTATTGTTAAGCTAACAAAAAATTGAGGTTTAAACCGAACTAAAGCACAATACACACAGATAACCTTATGTTGATCGGATTTGTGATTTGGAATAGATTTCGTTTGGTAAAAATAAATGGCAATATCAATATCAACTTAATTAAAATTTAACATTAAGTTTAGCTGCAACTCCAACTGAGAGCAAGAGATTTTCGCCTCCTTCCTTCATTATTCATTTCGTGGTATGATCATATTGATTATAACAAAGGAAATACATGTTTATTGATTTGCATGGAATGAAATTAAGATTCTCAAGCCGTACTACTGGGAAGGATACAAATAGAAACGCATTACCGATATAAATTCTTTGTCCCAGATATGACCACTGCAGGACGAGTTGACCATGAATGAATCTTGCTTCCTTCTCATCCAAGATGCTAACCATATGTGTGTCGTCGGACAACTCACTGGGCTGATGAGTGCAATATTCTTCCGCCTCCGCCCATGTACTATTGTGTACCTGGGCAAAGAGGTAGCAGTGTCCTCTGTACAGCACCCATCCCTCAGGGCACATGCTATCCTCATCTGTTATATCAGGAGCTTCCCAATCTGATCGGTAAACACAGAAGATTTTTTTTTTTGGTTTTCATTAGGGTATTGCACAAGTTTTTAGGTTTGGATGATCATTTTGTTTGAAATTGGCAATCTAGTTGTCGTTGCAAGACTAGAGTCAAACATGTGTTTTATCGCTACACTGTGAGCTAGTTATGATTGTAAACCCAATTTATTTTAGTATAATACCAGAGCATTACTAAAGCCTCGATGTGCCGTAAAGAATACAGATTTTGGATAATTAGAGAAAGACGAAAATGGCGATAAGAATATTCTATGAGCTTCAAAACTATTTGAACTTTAAATGAGTTCAATTCAATATTCTACCCTCAGTTTAACGATAAATAAGGACATTAGCATAAACATCACTAAATATGAACGTGCAAATGTCTCTTCATGATATTGTACATTCGTATTACATAAATCTATTCAAAACTGGATGTTACGGACATCAATAACAGTTTATAGACAAACAATTTAAAAATAGTATGAGAGTATAGTTTATAGAACCTTCTATATCTTAGTATCATGGGATCTGTGAGCATGAGTGATAATGAAGAACACATGAAACACCAGATCATATATGAAAATACAAAGCATGATGTATTTTCCACTTATTAAGTGGAAATCAGGAAGGAAAGGTGACACACACTGATCAGATTCCCTTAAGGTTTTACAGGAACTGCGTGAAATATAATGCATGAAACCCATCCAGCATAACAAATGTTTCTTTCGATAGGTTGAGTTTATTTACTCTTCCATGGTGATGTTTAAACAACCTAAAAAACAATAGGATCTTGTTTGATAAAGCACTCTCAATGATGATATGTTTCATGATAACCATATACTCCAAATATTACTAATACAGTCTGAGTAATGATGGAATTGTGCCTTCATCTTTACGACAAAATGTATAATTATCGGTAATACTAGTAACTATAGGCAATAGGCATGGCACATTTGATCGTATCACCTACTTTTGAAATAAAGAATGGAAATCGTAATACCATACAATATTGGCACGTAATGTGTACAGCGGTTTTACAGTAATTGTATGAAGGCTCTTTACAAACATATATAAATGTATATACATGTGTATTAAGTAACTGAAGAAATTGAATCCGTAACTAACTCACTTTCTTCATCTTCTTCCACCCGCACAAAGTGATAATGAGCAAGAAATTTCACAGTCTCAGCTTGAGATGTCACTACCTCAACCTTGACCGAATCGACATCGGTGTCGACCTCCATCCCATCGTAGATTCCGTCGTCCCCGCTGCAGAACGACGCAATCGATATGGATGGCGTCTCGCTAGCAATGACCTTGATGAAAGAAGTGCTACAATCTCCTTCATCAGAGAGACGTAGGACATCGAAGATGAGTTCGATGAATGCATTCGAAGGAGCTTGAAGGAGCCATGTCTCTTTCGGTCCTACGGCAATGTATTTTGGGTAGAGTCTGCTTGCGATTATTCCTGGTGAGAATAGACACTGGTGGTTTGGGCTTTCCAAATCCGTCCCCACTGCACAGCCTGCAACATCTGCAAGGCAGGAAATTATATAATCGTTTTTAGTAGTGGTCATGTTGATGTCTGATAATTCGATCTTTTTTATAATTATGTATGTAGGAACACCAAGTCATAATCATAGCGTTAAAATATGAAGGGAAGGTGCCAACGAAGAGATGTATGACGTTTCAATATTTTCTAACGAAAAATAAATAACCCCCCGCTCCCCAAATAGAGAACATGGAAAAGGGTAGAATAGATAGGACATAAAAAGGATAAAAGAATAGAATAAAAGCGAAAATTTCGTTTGCCCGTACGCACACTCATTTTAACTACCCAGTAATGACTTTTGTTTTGTTTACAAAATCTGACAAAAGAAGCACAAATATGTTGACATGATTCAATTGATTAATATTTGTAATCCATCGGGTTAATTAAGTTGGCCAAATTACCCGAGGCATTTACACGTGCCTGTAGTCCCTCTGACATAGATTCTCTTCCCGTATCTATAGCAACCGTCATAGTGGAGGAATTGGTGAGGATGAGGTGTGGAATGCGTGAAGCATCGCACGAGAAGGTGAGAGTATGATCTGGTGAGGTTAGAGTCACTCTGTCCTGGCATACTCCATCAGAACCTAAGGCAAACTGATCCAAGTATGTCACAAAACACAATTGATTGGGGGATCAACAATGTTTATCTAAAACAATGTATAAACTGCAGCAATATGATAAACCTCCTCGAGTCAATGATGGTGACGATGATGTTGACGACGTTAATAACGATTATGACACGAATAGCGATGATAATATTTGATGTCCGTGCAATATACAATATCAATTAGCATACTGACATATCCCGCATCGTAATGACAATAAACGGGGCTCAATAGCAATTAAAAAAAAAAAAAAACACGATTTATATAATTAAAACAATGCACGTCTAGACATAGTCTAGTCTACGATGACATATGATAATCAGAAAAAAGAAAAACATTAGTAAAAATTGAAAAGTGTGTACCGCATAGTTGTCGATGGTTATCTGAATGAAGGATTGGTCTGGGACGGTAACGTTGGTTTCACAGGAACTAAACGGTATAAAGGATGAAGGAAACGGTCGTGTTCCGAGATAAGTTCCGTCGTAAATCAGCTCAGTCATTCCACATCCACTCTCACAGCCGAACTGTTCTGCTTTACAATCTGTTCATAATGATATGATATCATGGAAGTAAAGTGGTACATTCATTTCATGAACAATGATAAACTAGTAGTATTTTCAAATAACAAAATCACTTAAATAGGCTTATAGGCCTCATGGTTCAATAACAAACTTTAAATACTACTTAATATTTATCTCTGTGAAAAATGGATATTTTTAAGATAAATATGACCAGTCTGTAACTTCGAAAAGATGATTTAAAAACTACAGTTGACACAGTTAAAGTCCTAATTCAGTCCACTTAGGAAGAAATTATGATTAAGACATTAATTATGAATAAATAGTTATTTTATGATATATTCCTTTGCGTGGAACTAAAAATCAGCAGAAAATCTATTCAGACCCATGCTTTCTTTTATATCGTTTACAAACAGTTAGGCCTATGTTGCGAAGGTCTTGCTTTCTTAATTAGGGTCACAAAGCGGAGTATCAATAAAGAATGATTACTGTCTCCTATGGAAAAAGACCGGTTCTCAGCCCCCAAGACCATTATTATAGTATTAATGACTGCTTTGAGAGAAATAATTGTTTTTATACGCTCAAGGGAAGGTTAGAATATTATTGTGCTATTGCCCGAGGCGTGACATGTGCTATCTAGGTTTTACATTTACAGGTTGTGTTATATCGTTTATGCACTATTAAAGCTTTCGTAAAAGGGATAGTTGAGTTCTTGTTTCAGATCGCAAATGCATTCAAAGAGCATGGCTATTGCTCTTATTCTTATTTATGACAGTGCCCTTTTAGAACCTAAAATTTCAACGAAGATAGTTTTAGACCCCAAAATGTGTGAATTTGGATTAAAAACGATTATACCAATTCAGCTCAACTTTCCCCAAAATACGGTGACCGTTAGTTAATCAATTAACTAATAATAACAAAACACTGACAGGCTGGTTGCGCGTATTATAACCAACACGAAAAAGCCAACCAAAACAAATAGATTGTAATAAATGTATTTATTTTAATCTTACAGCTTAGAGTTAGGTTGCTATACTGTTATCAACCTTACATATACAGGTTACATGTTACACGTTTAGATTGGTTGTACGTAGTATAGTTGAGTTTGTTATACTCTTTGTAAGATTTGTTGTTATTATACTCATTTTGTTTATACGGCTCTGTTCCCTATATATCTATGTAACATATGTTTTATGGACCTCTGCCTTGTGCAGCCGAGTCTGAAATAAAGTTCTGAATTGAATTGAATTGAAACAAGAAAGCCAATATTGGCATTGGCTGGAATAGAACGAATAAGGTGCTATCTCGTTTTTTAACGGCTGGTTCAAAACTACCAAATATTTGTGGTGGCCCACAAATTAGAAATAGTTATATTTATGAATATTCCATCCGTCTCTGAACCGATTTTGATCAAACAAAAATGACTTTATCATTTAAATTGTATATTCTTTTTGATTTGACACTCAAGTTTTAATTATCACAACAACAAAAAATGTTGTTTAGCGCCCTCTGCAACAAAACTCAACTATCCTTTTAAAGTTGTTACTTCCGTAGTAGTGTCGTATATGGAGGGATGTCAATCAAGAATTATTTCTTGCCACCTATGGTACAGAACCATTATTGTCACCCGTAGGCCATATGATGCGCTGTCAAAGTCTTACCTATAGCTTCATATATCATTGAGAATTGTATGAGCGAGAAGATGGACTGTGCAAACACGTCGATCCTGATGTGATGGGACATGAAGAACATTATATCATTGTAGTTGCCACAAATCTTGAGAGACTCAGCATTGGTTTGCACAAGGTCTTCCCCGGAAACATAATCTAAACAGTCCCCGTCGCCATCCGTTTGCTCCCGGAGGGAAACGAAACTGAACGTCAATCTGTCAAATGATGGGTGATTAAAGAAACAATTGTGGGCAAATGGAGCAGATTACAAGACGAATTCTGCACTGAAACCAACCAAGATGTCTCCACTGTTAACGAGAACATTTTATTCCGAATTATTCCTGTTAGCCTAGCGATAATCCATTCAATATCTTGATTGTGGTATATTATTAAGAATTTCATTAGGAAATAACTATGTTGATTGATTTGACAGTATTCAAGTAAACTTATCACAACGATTTCGCTTCCCATGGTGTTTTGCAAACACTGCACCACCATTTTTGTGAGATTGTCGCAGGCGCGGATCCGGGGGGGGGGGCGAGCGGGCCTTGGCCCCCCCAGCAAAAAATCAAAAAAGAGAGAGAGAGAGAGAGAGAGAGAGAGAGAGAGAAGAAAAAGAACGGAAAGGAAAAGGGAAAGAAGAGAGAAAGGGAAAGAAAGAAGAGGAAGAAGAAAAGAAGGGGGAAGAAGGAGATCGGGGGGGGGGGGAGGGAGCCGAAAGGGCCTTGCCTCACAGGCTGTTGCCTCCCCCAATCAACAAAATAAGAGAGAAGGGAGGAAAGGGAAAGAAAAAAGGAAATGAGAAGATAAAGGGAAGGAAAGAAGAGAACGAAGAAAAGAAAAGAAGGGGGATATCACTTGCAATTTTTCCGCCAACAACGTGTGGATCGGGGAGGGGGCCGAAAAGCCCTTGCCTCCCCCCCCCCCCCCCCCCCAGCAACCTAAAAGAGAGAGAAAGAAGGGAAGGGGAAGGGAAAGATGAGAGAAGGGAAAGAAGAAAAAAAAGAGAAAGAAGAAAGGTAGGGGAGATCAGTTGCGATTTTTCCCGCCAACAAGGTGTAGATCTGGGGGGGGGGGGGGCTTGGGGTACTTTACAAATGTTGCTGAAATGACGTAATAGTCAGGTCAATATACGGTAAAAAACACCCAAACCCCAAGAAAATTGCAACAAAAGGTTTTTCAACGGTTTCTAGTAGATTTGACCTCAGGAATAACATACTAAAAGTAGACCAAAATCAAAGGTTCAGAAAGCTGTTATTTTTTAAGATGGCATCCAAGATGGCTGTCGATACCTAAAAACGACCATAAATCACTTATTATCCATCCTAGAGACATAATTTTGGTTTCTATCCCATGGTTTCGGGGGTCAGAGAATCCATTGAGACAAGTAAGAATAGTTTGTGATGGTCTAGGAAACCCCAAAATCCAAGATGGCGTCCAAAATGGCCGCCATATCATAAAAACGGCCATAAATCATTTATTATCCATCCTGGAGACATAATTGGGGTGTCTATCCCATGGTTTCGGGGGTCAGAGAATCCATTGAGACAAGCAAGAATAGTTTGTGATGGTCTAGGAAACCCCAAAATCCAAGATAGCGTCCAAAATGGCCGCCATATCATAAAAATGGCCATAAGTCACTTATTATCCATCCAAGGGACATAATTGGGGTGTCTATGCTATGGTTTTCGGGGTCATAGAATCCAATAGGATACGTTAGAATGTTAAGCAGTGGTTCAGGAAACCACGAAATGTAATATAGCGTCCAAAGGGCCACAAAACCACTAAGATTTCTCAATAGAGGGCGCACTTTATAAACAGGAAATGAACTTATGTTTCTCTCTCACCCATATGGTGTCACCCAATCCCCCCCCCCCAGAAAAAAGGGTAAATTCAACTATTGACAGGTCATTGTCAACACTAAGGGAGTGGCCGAGGGAGAGGGAGGGGGGTGGGGGTCGAGTGACATCTTATAGCGAATACACATGCAGATCTTCATGTTCCTTCATTTTGATGAGGAATGTACTTTAGTAAGGAAAACATCAATACCGGTGTGTTGGCTCCAGACAGTAGAGCGTCCGCCTCACAACCGGGAGGTCGTGGGTTCGAACCCCGGCCGCGTCATACCAAAAGACGTTAAAATACAGGAGTTGCTGCTACCTTGTTTGGCGTTCACCAATAAGGGATAGAGCAACGTCGATCTGGCGCTGCTCAGTGGCTGCCGGGCTCACGACCAATTGGGGAAAAAGAATTTCCATTTTCGGTTTAATAAAATTTGGAGTGGACTTTAAAAGATTATTATTATTATTATTATTATTATTATTATTATTATCTTCTGCTTTATTATCAAGTGACTTGTTCTATGGATTGTGGCATACATCAAGTTGGCAAGGTCCACACACAAACATGGTAGTCTATAACATCTACAGGTACAGGAAGGTGTGCTACAAGCAGTACAGCAGTTGCAATGAATCAACTTAAAAAGATTACAAGGCGCAGCCTCCGTATTTGACATTAGTGGAACCAGATGATTGTCCTCTAATTTCCAGCCCTAGTCTGTGACGTCCATGTCTACTCACTCTTCATCCATGCCATGACTTGGTAGCCCGGGAGGGGGGGGGGGGGGACTCACATATTAAGACATACAGGCGTGTGACGCTCTAATGAGTCACTTTTTCACCAAAAATCCCTAAATATGGGTCCGTTTTTTTTTAAATTTCCAGAATTTTCGGGTGTTTGCATTGTGAAAATTGTGAAAAGTGGGTTTTACTTCCAGAAAAATTACCCCTTAAACTAGATAGGGGTTTCTGATATAATCCCCCCTCCCACCCGGATTTGGTAGAATGTTCTGAGGGAGTGCATTTGGTGGAGGCTGACGTAGGAGGGAGTTGCATTGGCAATTCTCTTGACGAACAAGTTGTATCGTAATGATGCAACTGAGTCATGACAGCGGCCACCAAACATGACAGACATTGCTTTGATACCAATTTCCTCTAAGTTAGTTACTTTGGCTGACTTGGTAGAAGAAAACTACTAGCACAGGATCCCAAAGTGAGGTTGCATTTCACAAGCTTCTGGAAGACTGCTTTCTTGCCTATTCCGAATATCTGGGAAGTTGAATCGCAATCGGTAGGCATCCAGAAAAAAAGTAGTTCTGAGCACAGATCCCATACCCAGGTCCACTTTCAACTGCTTACAGTTCTACACCTTTGGAGCTTTGGCTGCATTGTAAGCAGGCGCGTACACAGGGGGGGGGGGGGGGTTTGGGGGGTTAAACCCCCCATTTGATAATTTTTTGTGTGTAAACCCCCCCTAAATTTCCCTAAAACCCCCCCCCCCCTTTTGGAATTTTTTTAATTTATTTTTTAATTTTTTAATTAAAAAAAAAAAAAAAAATCCCATGGCCGACCTCAAAAAGATGACCGAACCCCCCCCCCCCCCAACGGAGCAAAATGTCAAATTTTCAAAATCCGATACCAAAAAAAAAAAAAAAAAAGTGTCCTCTTACCCCCCCCGAGCGACTTTTCGGTTGGCTGAGTCGTTGCGATTTTTTTTTGGACTACCAAAAAAAAAAAAAAAGTGTCCGCTTACTCCCCCCCCCCCCCCCCCACTGAGCGACTTTTCGGTTGGCTGAGTCGTTGCGATTTTTGGGACTACCAAAAAAAAAAAAAGTGTCCACTTACCCCCCCCCCCCCCCCCCCCCCCCCCACTGAGCGACCTTTCGGCCGGCGCGATTTTCAAATTTTCGGGAGCAAAATATTTTGGGTCAGATTTTAAAACCCCCCCCCCCCCCCCCCTTGAAAATTCCTGCGTACGCCCCTGATTGTAAGAGTGGAAGTATAGTTCCCTGCTATTTGTTTTAAGGATTTTGCGAAGTCCACAGTTCCTTTCATCAGGGTACCGATTGCTTCCAGCAAAATCATGAAGGTCTGGAAGCAACCTAATTGCAAGTCATCCCTTTCAGTGGGCTATTCTGGGGTACATCGATGATTATAGCTCAGCGGCCTTCCAATATGCTGTTTTAATAGTCTCATTCAAAAGGAAAGACAAAGCTACGACTCTGGGAGAGATTTCGAAAGTACAAATTGCACCTGAACAAACCATAAATGCTGCTTTGCATTGCTGTTTCAACAGTTCCTGGTAGTTTAAAAAACAAGGGAACTTGAGGTAGCAGAGGTGATGAGCTTTGAGCTCAGTCCGTTCCTACCTGCACTTTTCGAGGCTGGGAATGTCTTTCGGAAGGCTGGGAAGCCTCAGCTAGCTCTTGTTATAACCGATCATGCAAGTAAAGTGTCGGGTGAAGCCGTGAAATAACACAGACCAGTATGTCCTTGATGGTGTTTCCTTGGTGCATCAGATACCATGGAAGACAGGAGACAGCTTTGGCAGAATAGCACGATCATATCCTGATTTCACAGCCCCCCACACTATATGGTTCTGCAAATGTAGTTTTTGACGGCTTTAGTGGAGGGCCGTCAATTAATGATAATACACACCAGCGACGTAGGCAGAACGCCCATCCAGTTGTCAGATTTAATGCAGACACAGTATTCTCAGGCAAGAAGGATGAGTTTTTTTTTTATCAAGAGACTGCAATAAGCAGGGACTCATGAATCTCATTAGTGAGGAACTGAGGAAGAGTAATTGCACCGTCATCAATGTATCCGGGAATGCAGATGTACATATTGCTAAAGCTGCAGTGAATTCTTCTCGTCGACAGTCTACTACTCTGATTTGAGAAGGCACTGACCTATTGGTGTTACTCTTGCATTACGCGGTTGTAGATAACAGGGAACTATACTATCACTCTTACAATGCAGCCAAGGCTCCGAAGGTGTATAACATTAAGCAGTTGAAAGTGGACCTGGGTACAGATCGATGCTTACAACTGCCTTTTCTACATGCCTACACTATGGTTGCGATTCGACTTCCAGGATTTTCGGAATCGGAAATAGAGCAGTCTTCCAGGAACTTAAGAATCCAGTACTTTCCTTCTTCCAAGTCAGCGACAGGAACTAATAGAGGAACTTGGTATCAAAGCAATGTCTTTCATATTTGGTTGCTGCTGTAATAACCCAGTTGCATCATTACGATACAACTTGTTTGTCAAGAAAATTGCCAATGCGACTCCCTCCTACGCCAGCCTCCACCAAATTCCACTCCCTCAGAGCATACTACCAAGTCATGGCATGGATGGAGAGTGAATTATAAGACACATGGACGTTACAGACTGGGGCTGGAAATTAGAGCACAATGATGTTAAATACGGAGGCTGTACCTAGTAATCTTCTTAAGTTGATTCGTTGCAACTGCTGTACTGCTTGTAGCACACCTTGCTGTACCTGCATATGTTACAGACTATCATGTAGCAGTGTGTGTGTGGACCTTGCCAACTTGATGTATTCCACAATTCATATAACGAGTCACTTGATAGTGAAGCACAAGATGATGTTTCCTTACTAAAATACATTCCTCATCAAAATGAAGGAACATGAAGATCTGCATGTGTATTCGCTATAAGATGACATGAACAACACGATGTTTTAAAAATTTGTACTTGTATGGTACATGTAGGTATTATGAATGTGTGTCTAGATTATTATTATTAAGTTGTTACTTTGTCTTTGTCACTCGATCCCCCCCCCCCCCCCCTCGGCCACTTCCTCAGTGCATGTTGACAATGACTTTTCAATAGTTGAATTGATCCTTTTTTTGGGGGGGGGGGGGGGGGAGGGTTGGTGACACCATATGGGTGAGAGAGAAACATCATAAGTTAATTTCCTGTTTATAAAGTGCACCCTCTATTGAGAAATCTTAGTAGTTTTGTGGCCCTTTGGATGCCATATTGGATTTCGTGTTTTCCTGAACCACTGCTTAACGTTTTAACTTATCCTAATAGATTCTATGACCCCGAAAACCATAGCATAGACACCCCAATTATGTCTCTCGGATGAATAATAAGTGACTTATGGCCATTTTTATGTTATGGCGGCCATTTTGGACACCATCTTGGATTTTGGGGTTTCCTAGACCATCACAAACCATTCTTACTTGTCTCAATGGATTCTCTGACCCCCGAAACCATGGGATAGACACCAAAATTATGTCTCTAGGATGGATAATAAGTGATTTATGGCCATTTTTAGGTATCGGCGGCCATCTTGGACGCCATCTTGAAAATAACAGCTTTCTGAACCTTTGATTTTGGTCTACTTTTAGTATGTTATTCCTGAGGTCAAATTCTACTAGAAACCGTTGAAAAACCTTTTGTTGCAAATTTTTTGGGGTCAAACCATATCTTGACCTGACTATAAGTTTCCGAGACTTTTCTTCACTCTTTAGTAAATGATACTTTTTTATGCGTTTGTTGGAAAATGACAAATTTACAGTCAGGCAAGAAATGCTTTATATTTAGAGGCCTACTTGTCAGGTCCCGCGAAAAGACGAGCCTCGGGGGCTTAGAGCCCCCGCCACTTGAAAAACTATATTATAAAGAAATAGAAAGAAAGAGAGAAAGAAAGAAACCTGTCAGCGTCACAAAATAATGCTCATCTGACAGTGATTACATGCCTAAAACCCCTGGATTCCACCTAGGGACCTAAAGCGGGCCCCCTGCGTGCTCCTTGAACGGTAATTTAATGCCTAAAACCTCTGAGCTTCTGGGGGCTCAGCCCCTGTACCCCACGCCAATTAGTGTCCTACCCTGGTCACAAAATGATAAGGTATCAGAAAATGCTCATCTAACCGTAATTAAACGCCTAAAACCAATGAGCTTCCGGGGGTTCTGCCCCTCGACCCCACCACGGGTTCTAAGGCGGGCCCCTAAATGCTGATAAATTGTGTAATAAAATAAAATGTGTAAAACTCCTAAACTTCTGGGGGCTCCATCCCCTGGAACCCATGCAAATAGTGTCGTGCCAGTGTCACAAATAAGGTATAAAAATGTGCTCATCTAACCGTAATTAAATTGCCTACACCCCCTGAGTTTCTGGGGGCTCTGCCCCCTGGACCCCCACCTAGGGCCCTAAGGCGGGCCGTGGATGCTCATTTGACGGTAATTTAATGCCTTAATCCCTGAGCTTCCAGGGGCTTCGCCCCCTGGACCTCACGCAAATTAGTGTCCTGCCAGTGTCACAAATAAGGTATCGCAAAATATGCTCATCTGACCGTAATTAAATACCTAAAACCCCTGAGCTTCAGGGGGCTCCGCCCCCTCGACCCGACCAGGGGGCCTAAGACGGGCCCCTGAATGCTTATCTGACCGTTATAAAATCCCTCAAATCCTTGAGTTTCAGGGGATCAGCACCCTGGACCCAACGCTAATTAGTGACCTGCTAGTGTCATGTGTAAGGTATCGAAATATGCTCATCTGACTGTAATTAAATGTCCATACCCCTGTGCTTCCAGTGGCTGCGCCCCTTGATCTCCGCCGGGGCTTTGCCCTCTAGACCCCACGCCAATTTATTCTACGCTCTACCTGATCGTAAATACTTAAGCCTCCCCCACCCACTTTTAAAAACGTTCAGCGGGGCCTGCATGTAAGAGTGGGTGATGCGGATTTTTGTTCTGCCCCCCTAAATAATATTTTTGCTCATTGCGCCACTGCTAGTCACCATTACGTACCAATATTTGGCTTGCCTAATTTAAAATTTAGCCCCCCCCCCTAAGAAATCCTGGATCCGGGCCTGGATTGTCGTACCTTAGATTTAATGAATCGTCAACTTGCACGTAAAAACTCTGGTCATAGGCGACAGTGTTTAAGTGGGCTGAGAATCCTATGTACCCTAGTGATGCCGTGAAGTTGTCATTCAGTGATGTTAAATCCTCATCCTCAAGCTGGATGTAGTGATATTCTACAGAGAAAATACAGGATGGAAGACAAGAAGAATTCATTCAGAAACAAATTATTTGAATAAAACGAGGAGGTAAATACAGAAGAAGTAAAACAGAGTGAATGAGATGCGTCTATAAGAGTTGAGAAATTAACAAAACATACATACATGTATTGCAAGAGCACACTTAAAAAGATATATTCAGATTTCTTTTAGGTATATCTTTTCTCTCGCTTTGTTTCATTCTATGTTACACTATACGACTCTATCTTTCAATACCTCCTCCTTTTCTCCTTTGGTCTCCTTCTTTATTTACTCTCTCAAAGTAAGTGTTGTGTTAAAGTCCCAGTGTACTACTTGTAGCTAATGGCTGCCTCTATATAGAAAACAATGGCTAAGCGGTGTCCGTAGGTCCCCCATGATCCTCTTTTTCTTATGTTAATTGGGAGCTGAGTTGATGAGATAACAACCTGTCAGTGACCACGCTCGGTGGTTCTAATCCCTCCTGGTCAAACTAGTACAGACGGCCTTTAATGGGAAATTCGGCTTTGTATAATTTTTAAAATAACATTAAGTTGTTATTTTAATATTGAATATTTGTTGTAAAAGTATGAGTTTACAACCACGGTGACCGGGACTGGGACAAAAGCATTTTTGCCACAGTTATCAGGCTCATTCTTTGTATCCCTGGCGTTCCAGTAGTTGTAACATCTTTTTATCTTTACTTGTTCGAGTGTCTCTTTTCTGATTCTGATTAACTCAAATCTTATACTTGCAATTTGAAATGTATATACAGTAGGCAGACTTGAATTCTATTTCGTACCTACTTTTTAAGAAATGAATAGAAAGATTGATATTGCAGGAAAGTGTATTGCCAGATGCATACTTCTTTGACAAGTGACTAGTTACGAATTATTTATCATTCACCAGTTACGATGTCACGAAAACCGTACTTCAATATTCAGAATGAAAATTGCAAACATTACGCGTTGTTAGGTAGAGCGAGCCATAATGTTTGTTCTACCTAGCAACAACCGAAGTATGCATTTTGTATCCTGCCTATTGAAATAAAATACGAGTGGTGTATAACACGTGAAAAAATATATTCAAAAATGATTGATTAGATTTCGAAAAAAACATTTAGAAAATTACATGAAAGAAAGTATGTAAATCAAATAAAATGTAGGATATTTAACTTAAAACTAATTTAATCGGTTTACGAAGAGAGAATATATTAACAGAGAGTATCAAGCAAGATATCGTACTGTACCTGTGACACATACAAAATTCAACTCCATTTCACAATCCACCTGATCTGCTTCACGCGATAATAGATTGAATGAGATACATTTCCTTCTGGTTCCCTCTTCGATCGTCCACCACAATTCTTCATCGAGCTAATCATAAGGATATAGAAAACAACGATTAACTAATTTATCACTGAGGTGTCATTTCAAACATAACCTGATTTTGGGTAATGATAATGACTTTTTAGAGAAGTACTTGGGTATTAACGGTTATTACTACAAGGTGCAAACATTTCAACTTTCTCGTTAACCTTCTCAACATCATGTCTACCATCGTTCTGAAGTGGTTTCCTTTGCAGAAAACACTTATAATTCCGACGTTCATCTTTGAGTATAACTTAAGCAGAAGGAAGACACATTGAATTATCTCACCGAATCTGAATAGGTAAAAAGCTCTTCTGGTGTGGCAAATCTACCAAGGTGTTTCTGGGAGCATTCTCGAGTAGCTCGCTCCCAATTGGTTCTCCCGATATAGACACATACGGGAACTGTACCACCATCTAATGAAGCCGAAGTTGAGTTTATAACTTCGCACAGATCTATAAAGAATATTTGCAAATCTTCAGTCGGTAATCATCATCTCTTAATAGTCGATATAGTACGTCTCTTTTCCTTATTATAATATATATATCAGTAAATAAAATAATAAAATAGTAAAACAAAATAAGATAACAACAACAATGTAATAATAATACTAATGACAATGAAGAATTTTTAATTTTTTTATCATAATCATGATAATAATATCAATTATAATGATAGTCATAATAATGATAACAATAATAATGATGTGGTCTTATTAAACCTAGGATAGCCACACCAGTGTCAATACTGCTCCTCATGCAGCCCCTGCAATTATCATTACCCAGAAATTGTCAAGTACCAATTTACACCTGGGTGGAGAGTGGCAAATGTGAATTAATGTCTTGCCAAAGGTTGTTAGCGCCGGGCTGGGATTCGAATCCTTGACCATTAGGTTGAGAGTCGAGTGAATGAACCACTACACCACGACACCTCCTTATTCTGAAAGCTTCATTCGTTTATATTCTCTTAATCAAACATCAATGAAGGATTAGAAAAAAACTTATTAATTTGTACATGATAAATATCACAGCATTACAAATAAAGTATAGTAATAAGAAATGAAACTAATGGACTCACCCTGGCATTGCATATCTGTGGTCATTCTCATACCTCGTGGACATTTACAGTAGAAAGTGTGTTGCATATTGACACAAATCTCGGCGCAGTCATGGCTTCTGGTATCCAAGCATTCATTGAAATCTTCAAAGGATTCAAAAGAACGAAATCCATTGGTTTAGAGCAACACTAATTGAATAATGTAGACATTGTGTAGGTTTAATGTTTACTTTAAAGGTATTATGTTCCATTTGCAGGTCCAACAGATGAAGAGGTTAAATTCTTAAGGCATTATAAAGACAATACTTAGTTAGAACTTGAAAATGGCTTTGTGTGGGAAAAAAACGACCATTAGTTGTCGAATCTACATAAGTGATTGCATTCACCTAAGTAATAGTCTGATCTCTAGACCTTTGTACCGAATGATCGTAGGTTTTGTGCTGCACAAAGAGTCAATCAGTTTAATTTTGGCCATTACAAGAAGTGGACAAATGCTCATGTACCTTCAGCTCATTGTATGTATGGTATTACCAAAGAATAAAAAAGATGTCGGTCAGTCACTCAATAGTGTCCGACAGGGAATTCTAGAAAATAAACGGGTTTCCTTGCATAATTTGAATACTAGGAAACTACTAACGTTTAAATTTCACAGATAGGACATGCATGACATATTCATAATTCCTGTGAAGTTCTACATAATTTGATGTTGGCTGCAAAGGGACATAGTATCTTTAAACATAATAGCCAGTGTCTTTCCGCACTTGTCTCCCAGTTAAAGTATGTCGTACCCAAGGGACCTTGATATCTAGTCTTTAGCTCCGGCAACCATAGCTCTCGAGGCATTCAAGGACTAAATCAGGTTCATACTTCCTACACCTGGGTCGAGTGTGGCAAATGAAGATTAGTGTCTTGCCGAAGGAAATTAGTGCTACGGGATAGGGGGGGGGCTTGATTCAAACCATTTTACCTTGTGGTTCACAGTCGGAAGACTTATCCACTAAACCAAACTCCACTGCAAATGGTATTTCTACACCTCTACACAATTATGAAACTGATGTATTTAAATGGTGATTCATATCGTGTCAGCTGTTACCTGCTTCACATAAATGATAATGTGCCCGAGTAGAACACTCTTCCATTCGCCACTGGTAACAATTCGCTGGATCCATGAACCCACATTGTCCGGAGACGTTGTCCTCTGGCGAGATAGCTTCAGAGAATGCCTGAAAGACTACTTCACTTCCATCAAACCACTGCAATCTATATTTGGATTTTTAAAATATTAAGTACAATAAGTGATAATAGTGATATGTAACAGCAGGCGCGTACGCATGGGGGGGGGGGGTTGGGGGGTTAACCCCCCCTTTGGTAATTTTATGTATGTAAACCCCCCTAAAAAAAACCTAAAACCCCCTTCCCCCCTCTTGAATTTGAAAAAAAAACACCCAACTGAGCAAAATGTCAAATTTCCAAATTTCGAGACAAAAAAGAAAAGAAAAAAAGGCCCCCTAACCCCCCCCCCCTGCTTATTCAGCGGCTGGCTGAGTCGTTGCGAAATTTTCGGACCGATTTATAAATGTTAAACCCCCCCCCCCCTTGAAAAAATACTGCGTACGCGCCTGTGTAACAGGATAGGTGTTTATAAATCCTCATGGTTCCTCTTGTTAAATCATTGTATAGTTGAGAAATGCAATATTGTTATTTTTTGCCAAAACTCACAAAGTTTTTAAGGAGAAAATATAGAAGAAAAAAAAATTACGTAGGACTCGTTGTGTTCATGCTCCAATAATACTTGTCTTACGCTGAGTTGCGGGATTCCAATCCAATTCGGACCAGATACTGTGGTGGAAGAGAACTGGAGGCAAGCTTTTTCGCAAAGGTTTGTTCAGGCTGTGACTTGATGTAGGCCAGGCGACTGCCATAATCTGGACTCCAGGATGGACAAGTATTTAAGATATCACTGATCGCTCGTACAAAATTAAAACATTCTCCGTCGAAGTAAGAGTTATCATTCTTGCATCTTGCTGTAGAGGGGAGCAAAAAAGAACATAGAAGAACGTAAAGATTTATAAACGTTTACCACTCCGTGGCATAAACTAGCGCCAGAGGCAACCACTGAAATTCAGAGGTAGATCCTTTCATGCAGTCTAGCCTGGCAGATATAGTGACAAATCAAGGACTGAGGTTTAAAAAAAAAACAGTCGAGCGTTATATTTTGTATTTACAATCCTTGAATGAAAATTTTGAATATATATAATCATGGAAGGCTAAAAATTAATGGAATTTTAGATACATTAATGTGCGATTTTGTATTAAGGCACTTTTTCTTACCTTCTTATTGTACACGAAATTTAGAACATAAGCAAATCGTTCAAAGTGACCAAACGTCCCTTTTTTCTCTTTAACCCTTTGACATTGACTATTTCAATGGTGATTGGAATAGGGGCTGTGAGTAAATTGTCGCATGTTACAAAAAACGGAATGAATGGGCGGAGCTACGCTCACACCATAATTATAATTATTCCTGCTTCACATAAATTTGGGCCCAGGGGCCCTCGCCATTGGACTCTAGATTAGTTGGAGCTTCATCTCTAAACAGTAGGTCGCATTCAGCTGTATCTATTTTCTTAGGACGTTCTTATAACAATAGTAATGATAATGATGATGATAATAGTAATAACAATAATAATAATAATAATAATAATAATAATAATAATGATAATAGTAAGGCGCGATAGCTCAGTCGGTAGAGCAGTGGTCTCGTAATTCGGTGACCCGGGTTCGAAACCAAGTTGATGCGCTAGTGCCCTTTGGCAAGGCATCAATCCTCATTACCAGGTCCCTCGGAGAGGACCTAAAGCCGTCGACCGTCTGGTTGCTTACTAACAAGCATTTATGCTTTCTTAGCAGTCAGGTAAAATAACCACCACAACTGGCAGTGGAAACGCTTATAATAATAATAAGCATCGTCATCATCATGATCATAATGTTGTTTAGCCAGGGAAGCCTCATCAGCGTTAATGCTGCCCTGCAATTATTCTTATCAACCCAGCAATTGATACATGTAGGTACTCATATATACCTGAGTGGGTGGAGAGTGGCAAATGCGGATCAATGTCTTGCCATAGGACGTTACAGTCTGGCTGGGATTCGAACCCTAAACCCTTGGATTGAGAGTCAAGTGAATGAACCACTATACCACATCACCTACACAATGTCCTATGATGCTACAGTATTTACCATCAGTCGGACAGCCGAGGAACTCCACAGCAAAGCGTGCACTACGCCGATAGGTGTCGATGACTGGTTTGAGTTGAACAGCAGTAGTTAAGTAGTCCTTTCCGAACATAATGGTTTTCTGAGCATATGGTCTAGTATACTGCAGAAAATAGTGGCAAATATTATGATTTCAGATTCACGAGCTACTGCTATAAAAAGCGGTAAATTCATGACATCTAAATATAGCGATTAATTATGTAATGTTTACCGGAAATGTCAACTGATTGGTCTTACTCACAACATTTACGGCGAATTCAGAAATGAAAGTTTTAGTGTACAAAACAATAATATGTTTTACAAGATGATGACGTGGATTCTAAGCAAAATAAAATGATTGGTTGAGAGCGTACACGTGACCAGGCATTTATTTTGCCTAACGTGTAATTTGGATAATGACCGGCCATTATCAAAATCATGTTATAAAACATCATTTTATAAAACAATTAAACATAATCTTATATAAAACAAAAAATACACATCATTTTGTTCGGGTATTAGTAAAATTACCCACACGAGATACCTTTCGAACAGTCTCACACGCCCGAGGCGACAATGCCCTCACTGCTGTGTATTATTGTACACTTATTTACCCAGGGTAGCCACATCGGTTCTAATACTGCTCTTCTTGTGGAGCGAGCCTATAACTGTTATTATATCCCTCATGTATAGTTTTTTGCATTGCGATTGTACAGAGCACGAAAAAGGTAGTAGTACATTCCGGAATCCACTTATTCCACCGACTTCCGATATTTCGGAGGGGGGAGGGGGGGGGGGGTTAAACCCCCCCTTTGATATTTTATGTGTGTAGACCCCCCCCCCCCCAAAAAAAAAAAAAAAAAAAAAAAAAAAAACTCCCCTAACCCCCCCTTTGGATTTAAAAAAAAAAAAATTAAAATTATTTAAAAAAATTTAAAAAAATTACCCCAATGACTGACCTAAAACAGGTGACCTACCCCCCCCCCCCCCCAACGGAGCAAAATTTTCAAATTTCGAGACCAAAAAAAAAAAAAGTGTCCTCTTACCCCCCCCCCCCCCCCCCCCCCCCCCCCCCCCCCCCGCTTATTCAGCGATCGGCTGAGAAAAAAAAATGTCCTATTACCCCGCCCCCTCCCCCGCTTATTCAGCGGCTGGCTGAGTCGTTGCGAAATTTTCGGCCCGATTTATAAATGTTAAAACCCCCCCTTGAAAAAATACTGCGTACGCGCCTGCTGCCGACTATCCCCGTATTCATTTGTTAAATGTGGAAGATTAGTTGAAATTTAACGAAGGAAATGACAGCAAAAACACGAAGAAACATATCAGGTACGGACTTTCTGTGTTACGGGATTTTTGTAAGGAATTAAAAGCCGATTTTGATGATGATCTTGTGGATAAAGAAGCTCTAGACCTCCTCTCGCAGTTCTACGCTGGAGCTCGGAATCAAAACGGTGAATACTACAGCAAGAAAATAATGCAGGCATTGTAATAGTTTCTTTAATAGTGAGATGCTCATGAGCGATATAAAACTTAACAGATATACAATGTCTTTCTTGGCTTTGGCAAACTATGAGCATTCAGAGGCATAAATATTAACTTTTCCTCGAGGCAAATTTACTATTTATGCCTCTTCATAAGCTCATAGTTTTGGCTAGACCCTCAAAAAGTACTTTATATTTGTTTACTATTAGTATTTACCTAAGCATTGTCAGATACCTACAGATAATCTGGGATCGAGAGGGGCAAAAATGGCTCAAATACCTTGTCCAGGGATCTAAAGTACCCGTGCTTAATACTCACAAAATCATGAACACCAGACGCTAGCAAGAAAACCATGTCACTGGACGCTGTAGTTGGCTGATATGTCATGATCACGTTAAATGTAAATTTATCTTTGTCAAAGTCGTCATTGAACGGGTTTCCTGGAGATCCTGTTTGTAGTATCATACCTGATAGTATCACTCTATTTGGAAAACGAACTTGCAGCACGGGTGGCTCGTTAGTTACTTGGTATGGAGCCCCTGGGATAGTAATGGTAACAGTAATAGTAGTAGTAATAGTAATGGTGATAGCAATACAAATATATAATAGTAATAATAATAGCGACAACAATGATACAGTGGCGGATCCAGGGGGGCCGAAACGGCCGCGGCCCCCCTATTGGCGGCGCTAAAAAAGGGGAAAAGAGGAAAAAAAGAAAAAAAAAAGAAAGGAGAGGAGAAGAAAAAAAAGGAGAAGAGAAAAGAAAGGAGAAGAGAAAAGAAAAGAGAAAAGGAAAGAAGAGAAGTGAAAACAGAGAGAGAGAGAGAGAGAGAAAAAAAAGTAGAAAATAAAACAAGAAAGCCCCCCCCCCTTCCCTCCCACTCCGGGGTAGGAGGGACCGAATTTGTGTTCCCAAAATCTCTAAAAAAGGGTTACCTTTTACGCAACAAAGTCCGGTCCGTAATACACAAAAATGGGAGAAGAGAAAAGTCGGGTGAGAAAGGGGGAAAGACAAGGAAATGGCGCTAAGTGACAGTAACGACGAATAAGCAAAAACTGTAATCGGGAGATTTGGGGTCATTCCAGAAGGCTTGGCAAACGTTCGTGAATAGAGGGGGCCGGGCCGGCCGCATAAAATCTTGAGCCGCGTATTCAAATTTAAACGTTAAAAACAGCCCCTGTGCTACAAAGGTCATAACTCTTTAGTGAGAAATTTGAAAAGGGCACTATAATTTTGGATGTCTTTTAAATAGAAGCTATATACTCATATACTTTTAGATTAACGGTAGGACCGCTTCACAACGCTTGTTTTGCCCTTCATTTAAATTCAGCTCATACCAACTCGCTTGTTCTTTTATTTGAACTCATGTTCGTAGTAATCATGGACAGGGGCGGCAATCCTGGGCCCGATAGGGGGACACGTCCCCCATGAAATTTAGAAATATAGCTAGAAAGAAATATAGCGGAAAGAACGTACATATTGGGCTTAGGGATTTTCTAGAATGCATAATTTCAGCATTCAACATTGCAAAATCTCGCATGGCCGCTACGCCCCGGCCCTCTCCCGAAAACACAAAACTATGATATGACGCTCCCGACCGTGATTTATCCATAGTTGGTGTAATAGATCTTTCTTTTTTCCCCTTTCATTTCTACTAACCTAATTGTAGTCTGCAGGCACAGACCCTAATTTGACACTTAATCAAAAAATCATTGTGCCTTGAGAGAAGTCTAGCCCAGCTACCTACTGGTTGTGTCAATATCAGGAGCAGCTACAGTACATGGCCTATGGTAGTCTTATAGTGCAGACTCACTTTTACGACTGACCAGGGTTTGTGCTTGCAGACTAACCTAATTGTGTGCTATCACAATCATGATTGTTTTATTTTCCCTTTAAAGCAGGCGCGTAGCCAAGGGTGGTAGGGGCAGTGAGAGGACATAGGACGAAAAAGGAGAAGACAAAGAAACATTTTCGAAAATTCTGACAAGTCGAGAATGGTACAATGAATCGTCTTCTTACTCTAATAATTAAATGAAATGTCAAAGCTTCCGCGCTTCGCTCGGGAGGGGGGGCCGCAACTGAATTCAGACAAGGATCAAGAGTCGAGAATGGTACAACGAATCGTCTTCTTTTTCTTATAATTTAATGAAACGTCAAAGCTTCGGCGCTTCGCGCGGGAGGGGTGGGGGGAGGGAGGAATTCAATTCAGACAAGGACAAAGAGTCGAAAACGGTACAACGAACCGTCTTCTTTCTTAATAATTTAATGAAACGTTAAGCTTCCGCGGAAAGCGCGGGAGGGGGGAACCGAATTCAGACAAGGATTAAGAGTAAAAAAATGGAACAACGAATCATCTTCTTTCTCTAATAATTAATGAATTGTCAAAGCTTCCGCGCTTCGCGCGGCGAAAGGAAACTGACTTCAGACAAGTATTAAGAGTCGAGAATGGAACAACGAATCCTCTTCTTTCTCTAATAATTTAATGTAACGTTAAGCGTCTGCGATTTGCGCGGGAGGGGGAAAACTGCATTCAAACAAGGATTAAGAGTTGAGAACGGTACCACGAAACGTCTTCTTTCTCTAATAATTTAATGAAACGTTAAGCGTCTGCGCTTTGCGCGGGAGGGGGGAAACCGAATTCAGACAAGGAATAAGAGTCGAGAATTGTACCAAAAAATCGTCTTCTTTCTCTAATAAGTAATGAAAGGTCAAAGCTTCTGCGCCTTGCGCGTAATTGGCGGGGGGGGGGGGAACAGCGAGTTGCCCGAATATGAATTTTTGATATCTTTTCTCGTTTATTTTGGTGATAAATAACAATACATTTCACAGAATACAATTTTTTGCTCGATCGCTTCGCTCACGAGCCGAATTGTGAGGCTATAGCCCCCCCCCCAACGAAAATGTCAAACAAATTGTACCGGTATGGTGCTTCTAATATGACCTTGTCAGTATTGGTATGTTGAGTTGAAAAACGGTCTGCGCAATTTTCAAATTTCCTGCCCCCCCCCCCCCCCTATTGGAAAATCCTGGATCCGCGCCTGATGATATGTTATTATTGTCTACCGCCCCTGTCTTTTTATTAGTACTGTCCGGATTTAGCATGGCTGCCTTTACAGTACTAATCTGCAATTCAAGGCATTAATTCCTGCCAGGTACCCATTTACATCACCTGTTACTACTGACACTGTGGCAAATAAAGCTTATTGTCTTACCCAAAGAAACTTAGTTCTTCGACAAAAATTCAAACCCCATACACACTAAGAAAGAAAGGTACAATTCTGCTACAATAGCAGCACCCTCTGCCAAATACGCATATGTGGATGCAAATCTGCCCCCCCCCCCCCCCCAATATTGCACCCTTATTTTTAAGTGTGTACTTTGTGGTTCATAGTCCGAAGATTTGTCTACTAGACCGCAACGTACACCTGTAGAATCATGAGTTACATGAGCGAGGCAAATAGGTTTCAAGTGAACTCTACTCGCCCCTATCCACAAATTCTTCTAGACAAGACCTCTTATATTGAGGTCAACTTGCCTTACGGAAATAAAATAATCACCTTGTGCTTTTGATGTACGTTAAAGTTTTCTTGAAAGCGTATAATAGTATTAGTAAAACATGTTTGTACTGAAGAAAGAGAGAGAGAGAGAGAGAGAGAGAGAGAGAGTAGAAGGAGAAAAAGTGAGGATGGGGAGGAACTAGGAAGGTATGGCTATGCACCCCACGCTCGAAGACTAAATATTTATTATTGAGGACGTGTCACGATTGGCCTCAAGTTTAATATACATGTAGGAAGAATAAAATTCGTCAAAGGCATCTACTGTCCAAACAGTCTACCGGGAAATTATCAGCAGTCAACAATAAAAATAACAAGAAACAAAATCATACCTGCTGGGTTGGGTCGAAAGAAGCAGCCGATTTCCAAATTTTCTCCAAATGAGTTCAGACGAACCATAGACAGTGAATCTTCGTCGCAGCCGCTGCATTCGATATTCTCGTCAGGGATTTCCAATGATTCCATTCCAAGTCGCTGGTTGCAAACTGAATTCGAATAAAACCAAAGCTATTGAACTAAACAATAATTAAAAAAACGTAGAGCCTGATGTATCTTCCTTGGCCAATGACTTGTCCGATTTGTTTATGTCATGGTTTGGTGATATCGATGTCATGAGGGACCTTAAATCCACAAGCCTTGCTTTCAACCAAAGGTCACCTCATCTTTCTATTGTAACGCCATATTCTGTTAACTTGTTATATTCATGTCATATTTGTATAAATAAAAATTGAACTTGAACTTGAAGTGTTTTGTGCAGGATTAATGTTTACAACATCGACATTCACCTGATCATGATTGTAACCCACCAACGGACAGTCTGACAAAACTCTTTAAAAACCGCTAAAAGGTAAATACTTCGAAGCTGCGAATAACACTCGGTGAATATAGAGCCCCCATCGTTCAATGCGATTCGGTGTGTACAAAAGGCGTCGGGGAAAATCTTTCAAAGTCAGCCGGCAGTTGATATATATCCATCATTTAAAAAGTGATGCTGTGGCAAAAATCTGGAATATGTATGTATCAACATTTCTTCTGATCAAAATATATATTAATAGCGGCGATTGATTTTCCTCACACTTTATTTGTTAACACTGCCTTGCAGTGAACCACGAGGGTTCTACTTTCATTTTCACTATTTGACTGTTAGCAGTTTACCATAGTTGTACGTGTCTGACTGATAGACCACATCGTTCCTAGTATACAACATCGGTTCCTCTATAAGGTACTTAACTTACTGCCATTAGTGGGACATCCAAACACTTTTATCTGCAGACACGGTTGATTCCCAATCCATTTGGTAGGATATATGCGAAGGTGAGAGACATTGGTAATGGGTGGATTGAATTCAATCTGAGCCCACGGAGTGCTCTGGTAGGTAAAGCGGAGCTAAAGACAGAAAGAAATGGGCAAAATGTAAGAAACAACCAATACAACAACTATATTACTACTACTACTGCTGCTGCTGATACTACTAATACTACTACCAATACTATCACTACTGCTACTTCTTCTTATACGACCACTGTAACTTCTACTTATAAAAATAATAAGGTGATATTTCCATTCACGCAGATACTGAAAATTGCCAAAACAAAGTTTAGATATCGATTCTGTTTGGTAACTAAAAAGATAATCTTTGTTACAAATTGCTGCAATAGAATGATTAATGGGAATTTTTCATTTTCTATTCTTTCTATTTCACATAAGCTGTGATTTATTTTCTCCTAGAATATAGTTGTGTCTAGTTATTGCCATGGATATTGTTGGGCTCTCTAAAAAAAGTTGGGTTAAATGTTACCCTTGTCGAGTATAAAAAAGTAACATTCTTGTTTAATAATGGCTAAAATTTTACACCACAGAAGGTTCATTTTTACTCATTTGAGAACAGTATCTGCAATCAATACTTTTGCGCTATTTTCATTTGCAGTGTTATCTCACACCAATAGGTAATTTCTCATATTTAATGTAATAATATTAAGTGAATGAGTACTTGTGAAGTTCATTGGTACATATTATTCATTCACTTGTTACGAATAATTGTATTTATATTATAATTGCATACATTAAATTAAATAGCATTACGTTACGTTTGTTAGGACATGGAATGATATCGGTTCTACATAGAAACAACTTATGTATGAAGTTCGTATTCTGACTACTGAAATAAAATGGTTATAACATGTGAATTAATTAATTAATATAAAACGAGGCAATACACAAAGATTAATGCATCGAATTTGGTTAGATTTTTGAAAACTAGCGTCCCTTATGACAACAATAATTTGGCAAAATTACTTTGTTAATAAAGATAAGAGTTGAATATTTTTGATAACGATGTAAATTTTGTTGAAATATCTCTTCTGATTGAATCCTGATCTTACTTACCTTGCTACGGACCAACAAACTTGAATTTGTTCCTGGTTTATCAGTCCACATCAGATCAAATTGAAGAAGTCCATCTCGACCCAGGCACTTTCTAGAGACAATTCTATTAATAGTTCTCGGCTCTGAATAGTCAGTCTACCAGTGAAAAGAAAAGAAAATCATCGTGATAAGATTTATACAGAACAATAAATGACTCCCGTAATTTCGATGCATAATGCAAAACAGCTGTACTGTTCCGCATTTATTTATTTCCTGTATATTCCGATTAATCACCTTAATGACCACATTTTCAAATGTCTTTGATTCATGATCATTATAATCATCATCAACATCATCATCATTTGTTAAAGCCAGCATTTTCCCTCTTTCGAATGGTTACTGACTTTCGCAGCATGATGATATTCCCTTCCTCACCTCCTCCTTGTCTCGAGCATCCTCCTCATTAAATCAACCTTAGCTTTCTTTCTTTTCCATATCATTCCATCAAATCTTCGGTATTCCCTACCCTCTTATGACACCCACTTCCAGATCCCACGCTCTTTTCATCTTCTCTTCTCAACACACGACTAATACATCTCATTCCAAGTCTCTTTACCACTTCCACCACAGACCCAACCTTTTCATAAGCTCTCGTGTGCTTCTTTCTATCGAACAGTTTCACACCACACATCTTTCGCATATTGGCTCTTTCTGTTCTCCTCAAGATGACTTCTTTTTCTTCTCCTACGAATTAGCATTTTTAAAGTGATCTTGATGGTGGTGGTAGACTACAGGATCGTCTGCTGGTTAAAAAACTGGCATGTTCAGGAGAGTGGATGGGATGATATTCTTACAATAATATGACAAAGGAGTGGATAACTCGTCAGAAAAATTTAATCATGTTGACCTGAACTTTTATTTGATTAGACACACCTCTAGCGCTACTTCATGATCAAGGCTAACCCGCTGACTCGTGAGTTCTCATAGTCCCCATATGAACAACCCGGATCAAGGGGGCAATTGGTTAATGATGACATTGAAATAATTTATTTCATCATGGTTTACTACGTCATATCTAAAACAAGCCTTAAAACAAGCCTTAAGAAAGCTTTCTTACCGACCAGTACCGAGAAGTTCCGTTCCCATGTTCAAAGGATCTATCACCTGACTGAACTCGTTGAGAATGAAGAATCTGACTCGCGTCGTAGCTGGATTCAGAGACATTACATCCTGAAACAGGTGAAGAGATGGAGAAGAAAAAAAAAAAGCTATATTAGTGCCCTTTTGTGGGGCATTAATCCTCATTACTGTCATTTATGACTTAAGGGCGTAGGTTCCCTAGTTGATAAGCATAGTAGCATGCACATGCTTTAGCAGTCACGCAAAACAAACATTGGCAAATTGTTATTCAATAAAATCTGAGTATGTATACTATTATTTAGATCTATTATTTTAAAATTATTTTAAAAATAATTCCATACATTGGGGTAAAAAAAAAATATTCCACCTTTATGAGCGACAGTGTATCTAAATGTAAAATTAATTTTGGAATGAACCAATATCTTCAGCCTTACGGATCAAAGGCTTGGAATTTTATACTAGAGTGTCTTTGAAGAGAAGAAGAAGGAAATGTGCATCGACCTATACTTTCGTTCTTTCAGTTTATGAAATGCATTATGGGACTCAGGGGCGTCGCCAAAGGGGGGGGGGGGCTGCGACACCCCCACCCGTCAGGATATTGTCGGTAAAATTGCGCTGCCGTCGGGAAAAAAGAGAAAAGGGGGAGGGAAAAAAAGAGAGGGAAAGGAAAAGAAAAGAAAAACAGAAAAGGAAAAGAAAAGAAAGAAAGGAAAAGAAAGGAAAGAAAGGAAAGAAAGGAAAAGAAAGGAAAGAAAAGTGAAGAAAGAAAGAGAAAAAAAGAAAAAGAGGAAGGAGAGGAAAGAAAGGAAAAGAAAGAAAAGAAAGAAAAAGGGGAAAAAAATAAAGCGGGGGATGAAAGAGAGGGGAGGTAAGAGCCTGAGAGAGGAGGAGTGGGAGTAAAAGAGAGAGGGGGTTGTTGGGTGGAGTCGTCTCGTCGAGGGAGCAAGAAAGACACGTGTAAATATGTTGCAATGTCGGGTCAGCTGTGTTGGTATTCTTGCTCGATCCCCGTGTACTATATCAATGCTGAATTTTGAAGTCGGTGAGATGTATATTGTCGGTCGGCCAACAAGTTTTTTTTCCTACGAACTGTGACTTTTTATCCGCTGTGACGACTTCGAGAGTGACTACAACTACAATACTGGTATTTTCTCGAAGTTTCACTTTCTCATAATATCAGCTAAAGAAATCAGAGGTTTAAAATTTTCGGGGAAATACATTAAAATAAGGATTAAGAGTCAACAACGGTACGACGAATCGTCTTCGTTTCTTTATATTTTGATGAAACGCCGAAAATTCCGCGATTCGCGCGAGAGGGGGAAACTTCATTTAGAGAAGTCGAGGACGGTACACGAATCGTCTTCTTTCTCTAATAATTTAATGAAACATCAAAACTTCCGCGCTTCGCGCGGGAGGGGGAGAACTGAATTCAGATAAAGATTAAGAGTCGAGAACAGTACAACGAATCGTTTGCTTTCTCTCATAATTTAAGAAAACGTCAAAACTTCCGCGCTTCGCACGTGAGAAGGGAAACTGAATTCAGACCAATTAGGAGTTGCGAGCGGTACAACGAATCGTCTACTTTCTCTAATAATTGAAGGAAACGTCAAAACTTCCGCGCTTCGCGCTAAAGAGGGAAACTGAATTCAGACAATTAGGGCTTATTAAGAGTCGAAAACGATACAACGAATCGTCTTCTTTCTCTAATAATTTAAGGATATGTCAAAACTTCCGCGCTTCGCGCTGGAGAAGGGAAACTGAATTCAGACCAATTAGGAGTCGCGAACGGTACAACGAATCGTTTACTTTCTCTAATAATTTAAAGAAACGTCTAAGCTTCCGCGCTTTGCACGGGAGGCCTATCACCATCCATCCCCTAATGAGCGCGCTTCGCGCGCCCTTTAAGAGATTCGCTTGCTCACTACCGCTCCTCCATAAAATAAGATCTTAGCTCCACGCCTGCATTAAAATATATAGCTATGATGCTGACTAAGTTGACGAAATAATTCATATATTTATGTCATCGAGAAAAATGACCATTTGCGCATACGCAAGTACTATAGATAGTCCATAGGAAAAACAATTTAGCCTTCGGCCCCGGGTTCATAGGGTTAAATTTGTAGATATTGGGACATTTAATTTTGTCGGTAATTGGTGGCTAGTTTTGTCGGTAATCGTTGGCCTCTACAGCCCCCCCCCCCCCCCCCCCACTGAAAAAGGTCTAGCGACGCCCCTGGGGACAATGACCCTGTGGACTATAATACACCGAACAATTACGATCGCAACAGCCTCGTAGTACAATATCCTTGTAGTAACTAGTCACATTTGTCGTTTAAGGGATATATTAGGGGAGTATTTATAGTAATCTTACGAAACTATGACCTCACAGTCATTACCGTTTGGTCGGCATCCAAGCACCTCTAGTCTCAAGGCAATGGGCGTTTCCTGGACAGGTCTTAGACGAAGGCGGCTAGTGATGAGGCCAGGTGGAAGGGAGTAGATGTACTTGGCACAGTAGTATTCTGAATTACCTTCAAAGAGTTGAATGTTCTGTACAGAAGAGATTTATTAAGACTGTTACAAGGAAGAACAGAATATTCAAGGATTGAATGACGGCTTTATTCCAATGTTCAGTACAGAAGATAATTATTCAGACTGTTACAAGGGAGATTGGATATTCAAGGAGTGAATGAAGGAGTAATAAAGTGAAAGAAGAAATCTCGAGGTAAAAGGTGTTTGGTTGTGAGATCATGAGCTGTCTCGAATCACTTCTTCCAGTCTGGACAGATGTCATAACCTGTCTCTCAGATCAGGGAGTTCATCGAGAAAAGGAAGGAGGCTTTATGACAAAACTGTAGAGAGGAGAAATGGAGCATGAGTTAACAAATTAACCGCCAAATATGCATTCTGACCATTTTAGGCCTATCTGAATTGTTGTAGAATGCTGTTGTGGCAAGCTTTTCTCCGATTGGCATGAATAAATAATCCCAATAATCAAACCGCATCGAAGAATGCAATTAAGAATAACGTCCTTTTCGACATGAGCTCTTAACAATATACCGGTTTACTAACATATTCAAATTTTGTCGATACTCTTCAAATCTTCGATCTGAAATATGGTGTCCCTCATAGATCCTATTCAAGGTCCATAATGTTCTATACCACTTGGGCAATTTCACTGTAATATGTTCCGTACGACTCACACATCCATTTAATAAATCCATCAATATATATCCCACATTAATACCATAAACCAATGGTCGTTTCTGGTATGAATAATATCATTAAATTATTTTTAAATCAGAGTTTTAATTTTTTTGAAGAAAAATGGAAAAATACATATGTTTTACTCTTTATTCTTTGCCCATTACTACGAAAACACCAAAGATACTTAGATCTGCGTCTAATATAAATATGGTGGTGCAAGTGAAGAAAATTCTGTCGCAGCGATGGAGAGCAACAACCCGCAAATCCAACAACGTCACACTCGAGGCCCTTTTGAAAAGTGTCCAGAGAGGGTTCGTGGGATCGGGAGCCCACAAATCTGACAACCTTTTTGGAATTCACCAGAAAGTCATTAAATATCGGTCTAGTGGGCTGTCGTTCTCCTGTGATGTATTTCATGGATGTGGATGAGAATAGTCTTGGTATCTTACCGTCCCACTGTTCCTTGGCTTGTGTGGATCAAGAATATAAACCAACTCTCCTTGCACCCCGTACTCTAGAGTGAATGCTTTAACCCAGAACCGATTGTCCCCTCCTCCACCTTGTATGACGAGACCCGTTACTTCATAATCTTCTTCTAATGAGATCTATCGGGGAAAAAATACATTTTATTCAGTGCACTATTGAGTTTATATCCATTCATATATATTCAGTACACAAAAGACATAAAAATATGGATTAAAAAAAATTAAGGATAAGCAAACAATGTACTCTGCATTCCAATTTACGTTGAATATTATTATTATATGTTCTCTCCTAGAACCTTGAACATGCATTACGCGTAATGCTCCAGGGGGCTTTATAAAAACACTCATTAATGTCATTATTAGTTTTAACATTTGGAAATGAAAGATGCCAGGGAAGTGACCAGACTCTTGTTAAAATCGGTCTTGAAAGAAACCAAATGAAACGGAATTATCAAAATACTAGTCAGCCACATCGCTTGATAAGCTTATAGCCCTGGACGAAGACGACAATATCAGCTTGTTACAAAGATGTGATTGCTTCATAAATCAACTTGTAATTTTGATTAATTTTTAAAGGTACGTGTGTTACCGTTTGTAGACTTTTTGTGAATGGCACTATAACGCTACACAATTGTAGACTCAAAATAAAAGATTAACTTCATAACCGATTCACTGTTATAATTATCATTGATTACCGTTCTCCAAACACTACCCTTTTCCCATCTACTGCATCTTATTCCCTTCTCCAAATTTTCTCATTTTAACTATGCAAGTGATGCTCATTCATGATTTGTATCGGTTCCAGAGATGGGAAAGATAAGATCTCATATTCCCTTTTCTCGCATTCCTTTCATTTTGCTAATATAGACATTACTCTGTCAAAATAACACCGATATGATAGAAGGAAATTAATTGCACTAAATACACCTGTCTACTAATTTTAAGCACGGCCTATACAAGAAAAAACGAAACTCAGAATAATTTATGTTTTATCATAACTTAATCACACTCATACTTAATAAATTACACATACTTGTAAAGCTTAGATCATCTTCTTTCATTTGATGCAACTTATATGATGCATATTTCACGCATGAGTGATTTAAAACAATTTGAAGAGAGGAAACCAAAAAGTCATTTGGCGGGCGGTATCCGAATTTCAAAGAGAAAATCACATTTCTAGAAAGTTCATTGTCTGCCCTTTTAAAGGACACCTCAACCAGGAAGTATAATTTTGATTAAGTTATGATAAAACATCGATAATTCTCGGTTTCGTTTTTTCTGGCACGCACTATATTTTAAAAAGCTTGCCAGACTTAGTAGCAATTGATTTATTTAAAAGTGGAGCAGGTGAGTCCAAATAATAGTAAGCAACCAACGGTTCTGGAGAAAAATATTCATAAAACCAAGAGCATAATAGTAAACAATTTTGGAAGCGGGTGAATTTAAGAGGAGTGTTATTAGTGAACGAAGCTTACCTCAATAAAAGGTTGTGTATCAGAAGGATCTGGCATCCATGCAGAAGGGCCGTATAACCTTGCATGGTAGGCAAGATGATCTCTATCAATTCTGCTACTAGATGTGATCTGGTCATTTCTGATCCATCTTGCTTCCATCCCCAGCGGAAAGTTACATTGATCTGGTTTCATGTAAATAGGCCATTTGCGTAATGTAACCAAATGTAATACATACTGTACGTCTTTGCAAAGTGCCTCGATTACAAATAACTTCATCCACCCGTTACAAATAATTGTATTACAATAGTCGGAATGCGAACTGCATACATTACATGTTGTTGGGTAGGGCAAGCCATAATGTGTTTCCTACCTACAAACAAATAATGTATGCAATTCGGATTCTTAATAATTATTGAGATGCGATCATTCGTAACAGGTGTATGATCCTTCATATCAAGGCACTATATAAAGAACTATAATGCATTTAATTTGGTTAAATTACGAAAAAGTCTTATTCAATCTTTTAATTTATAATCTTGATGATACGGAGCATAACAAATTTGAATCTCATGATAAAAATGAACCATTTAAAAGCATTTATATATATATATATATATATATATATATACAAACAATCTTTAAAAATATTATAACATAAATAGGAAAGATTGTCCCCAAAGACCCCAATACTAATACTCTTTGTTATTGTCTAGTGGTATTGTCTACTAATACGCGAAATTAAGTAATTCACAGAGAAATGATGTTCGTGACTTACCTGAAGTGTGGAGGATGTCATATGTACAATCTGTAAATTGTAAAGATATAGGAGTGGGAAGCAGGATGATAAGAAGGGAAATGTCAATATAAAGACTGAAAGAACCGCAGAAAATGATCTATGATGATACAATGCATTAAAGGTAATACAAAGTTTTGGTATGGGGTCATGAATTTGATTCAAATGAACATATTGGAAGCATATACGATCCTGCAATATTCAGTGATCGTTGTCGCGGTCAAAATCGACTCTAAAGTTATGAAATTGTAAGTAATAAACATTTTATGTTGAATAGCTCCCTCTCAAGGTCAAGATATTAATTAAGCTATAAAACAATGTTTATTGACTAAAATCGACCGATTAGCTATTCTCATTCGGAAATTATATACCACAACTGCATACTCTGAGATTTTCATGGTCGCAGCTACCATTAAACGGCCGTAGAAGCTATTTGAAATTTATCAAAATTTACCGGGAGCACCGGTAAATCTTTATATTTAATTTTTCTCGAAAGCAGAAGTGTTTTAGGGGCTAAAATTTCTGGTGTTTTTAATACATCCACAGGGGCATCCAAATATATCAAAATTGTAAAGAATCACTATCCACCCATTTTTCAAAATTTCCCAAAACTTTGTAATACCTTTAATAGGGGGGGGGGGGACACATCTTCCGAAATTTGTATCGAACTTTAATTAAATCCCCTTCAAGTGGCCTGTTTCCAAAATGGACCTTTATTGTTGGTGTTTGATGGTAAACTATTCACAGCAGCCCAGAAGACTTCTTGCTCCATCCATGACCCCTCCACCCGTAGAGGTGTCGTGGTATAGCTGTTCATTCCCTTGATTTTAGGCACTAATCCACAATTACCACTTTTCATCAGTGTGTTAAATAGATACCGATGTAAGATGGCGACTGGCTGGAATGCTCCCCACGGAGGGGAGAATGTGCATTAATTCGATGACCGAGGTAATAATATATGTGTTCAGCGAATCATAAGCTAAAAAAACCAGCTATATAAAAACAGAATGTTATTATCATTATTATTTTTACCAAGTTATGGGAGCAACGAAAATACATGTTAGGGTCTGAATAAATTGTTTTCATCATTCATGTTACACTCACCTGCTACGTAATCTATATCCATAGTTGAGTTAGCTGTAATGGAAATAACCTCTATCCAGACGCTGAAATAATCGACCAGTAGATAACTTGGAACTTGATTTTGGGGATGGCTAATAAATACAGTGTTCGCTCGGCTTAATTGATAACCCTTATACACCTTGATCTCAACATGTTCTGGGTTGTAATTGCTGCCATTGAGAATTAGTACAAACTGCCTTACGTTGGGTAAGAACAAGTTGTACAGGCACTTCGGAATCTCGGCGCCAGTACTATTGAACGAAAACGAACCCGACAATCTCGAATGGCGGTAATCGGAGATGGTGTTAAATGAGGGTGATTGGCTTGAAGAGGGTGCTGAATTCGTTGGGCTTTCAGAACCTTCTGTCATACTGGATGTTGCATGCTGTGTTGAGGTGGACAGACTTGAAGAGGAAGTCCAAGAGCCTGGGTACCATGGGAAAGAGGACGAAGTCGAATCGTAATAGCTATGATAGTTCTCAGACGTCGATAAAGGTATTTCTGACAAGGACAAAAAAGAGATCACCAGTAAATAAAACAATAAAGGGAGGCATGTTTAAGTTGATGTACCCCTCCTCAAACAAAAGGCGATCGAGAAATAAAAAAATAAAAAATGTTAGGTGATGTTCTTCAAAACGATCGAAATGATTTTCGAGAATATATTGCCTTTTGAAATCATGTTTATGTAATATGTCACTGTAAACGGTAGCGCACAAGGATATCTAAATTGATTTCGGAAGTCTCTGTGATTATGTTTCAGCTAAAAGTAGAATGCAATTTGTATTCACAAACCATCATAAGAATAAAATACATTTCATTCAATAATATGGACTAGTTCAACAAAATGCACTGCTTATAATCCAAGAAGCATGTCCTAATAAAATACATTTATCAGGTAACCCATTTGATTAATGTCTACTTAGTTACACATTTCTTAGAGAAATTGATTTCCCAATATATTCCAATATTTTCCAACTCTAATCCTTATACTAATCCTAACGTATAATATAAATTCCAACCTGTACCCTAAACCTAACCTTAAACACATATTCCAAACCTAACCCTAACCCTAATCCTAACCTTAAACATAATTTCCAACTCAAAGCCTAACTCGGAGCATTTATCGGAGGAGCAAATATCAGGGCGCCATATTGTTTACCTCCATTCCATGAGCATTCATCCTCGACATCCTCATACAGACATAGAGCACGTGGTACACGAACACAAACTGCAAAACATTCATAAGTCGACGTCAGTCCGGATTCTACGCAGATACTGCCATCAGGACAGTCTTCTTCTTCGCACGGATCTGGGTTCAGAGAACATAATAATACAAATTCAATACGTAAAGCATGTGATCGTGAAATAACAAAATAAAAAATAATAATACAAAAAGGGAAAAATTATCTCGTAGAGTTCTGGCAAATGGAATACCTTAAATGTTTTTTTTTTTCATGGCAAAAGAAATTCTGTTATGTCGGTCGGTATATTAGAGCTTTAGATTTTATTTCGGGGTGGTTGGGGTTTTCATTTCTGGAATGTCATAGAGCTACAATATTCATGAAAATATCATCATTGAGTACTGCACATACATGTACTTGTAGAATTGTTTGTATGTAATCGCCAATAAATTTTATCAGCGTTTAAAACAATAATGTATACAATGTATAAATTCATGTCATGTCATGCATGTGCACGACTTTCCACCATTTTAGGCGAGTCAAGATATTGAAAAACATAGCTCAAACCCTAACAAGTTCCGAAAAAAAGATTTTTAAATTGTTTCCAGGAGTTTTCGGCGTCAGATATAACACACTAAAAGCCTAAGAATAAAGGACCATCGGAAAAAGTTTGTATTCCAAATGGCATCCAAGATGGCTACCAGTACCTGAGAATAGCCAGGAATCTGGACATATCAATGATGTTGGTACATGTATCTATATTTAGGCTTTAGGTGTCCGGAAATTCATTACGCCGGCTTAAAACGTGTTATGGGGGTCAAAATATTAAAATATGCTTATTATATATAGTGACCGCCATCCTTCAATTTAAAATGGCCCCTTTTTACCTTAAATAGTCATAAATAAAACAATATAAAAACTAGAATTGTAATTATAATATCTAGGTTGAAGGTGTCAAGAAATTCATTAGGCTGACTTAAAATGTGTTATAGGGTCAGGACATAAGTAAATCCAAGATAGCCCATGTGATTCTTAATTTTAGAAGTAAATTTGTATGGATTCTGATAATGAATGATACCCTTAAAAGTGTCACGAAATATTAGAATAGTTTTATATTCAAGCAGGCGCGTACACAGGGGGGGGGGTTTGGGGGGTTAAACCCCCCTTTGGTAATTCTTTGTGTGTAAACCCCCCCCCCTTTTGGATTTTTTTTTTTTTTTTTTTTAATTAAAAAAAAAAAAAAATATTCCCATGGCTGACCTAAAAAAGCTGACCTTACCCCCCCCCTCCCCGCTTATTCAGCGGTCGGCTGAGTCGTCGCGATTTTTTTGGGACCAAAAAAAAATAAAAAAATGACCTCTTACCCCCGCTTATTCAGCGGCTGGCTGAGTCGTTGCGAAATTTTCGGCCCGATTTATAAATGTTAACCCCCCCCCCCCCCTTGAAAAAATCCTGCGTACGCGCCTGTATTCAAGGCATTAACTATCATGACTATGGTCGTTGCATTTTGCCTTCCAAGACCTATATAGTAATTATTCCTTTATTATATCTCTAGAGATGCTATTGTGGAGTCTAAACCTGGGTTTTACGAGTCGAGAAATCCATTTAGACTACGTCAAAATGTGTTATAGCGGTTAAGAAACCTAGAAATCCAATTTGACGTCCAACATTGCTGCAATTTTATTAATGAGACCTGAAGTGAGTTATCATTCACAATACAGCTGTCATTTCCAAGTACAAAGTATATTTGAGTGGTTACGATAGTCAATGATACATGATGAAGTATAATTGAGTATCGCTGTAGCATTATGCACTATCCAATAAGGTTCCCAGATTGCCATCCACAAAAAAGACAATGGTTTTGGCATCAATACAATAACAATTGTCAGTAATTTTGACAGGGTAGCCCTTAGATGAAAGATGGCATGTCAATTTGAAGCCATTTTGCCATCCATGATGGCGGGTCATTTGATATTGATATTGTTTGTCAACCCCCGGTGATCCCTTCTGCTCTCTTAACGGACACTTCGTAGGAACTACGTACGAACTTTTCCCTTAACTCTCCTTGACCTTGTGTTGACTAACAGTTTGTTCATGCATGTTATCGTTATTATCATTATTGAAATACAATTTTCTTAATTCAACACTAATATAAATCTGACCGCAATCTGGTTGTTCTTTTAGTGAAAGAAAAGATGGAATGTATAAGCTGTCACCTACCGATCGGTCTACAATTCACACCAAGCACACTTTCAGCATTAGAACACGTTCTTGCTTCTTCAGAGTCTGGTATTAGATATTGGAAGCATTCTGCGATGGAGTCAAATCCGGAGCAGAAGAAGCGCAGTCGTGAGAAATCATAAACCTTGTTATCAAGGTCTATCTCGGTGAAGGTAAATGAGTCGTAACCAAGTGTGCTGCATATGGCGTAGGCCTCGTCTTTATTATCAGATGTCAAACATAAGGTTTCCCAGGAGTCATTGTGGAACACCTCTACAATTCCAGATGAGGAGTACTCTCCTCTAGCAAGACGCAGATCTTATAAACAAATAAACAAACGAAAAAACAATTCAACATAATTATGACCATGATAAAACGCTAAATCATTTTACAAATGGGGGGGGGGGGGAGGGGCCGGGGCTGAGCCACAAAGAATTGAAATATTTTCTAAAGTGCCCGGAACGCCGTTATACAAGGGGCAAGTTTGGAAATTATCGTTAAGTTGCACTTTTGCACTCGACCAGTCTGTAATTATCACGTGGCTCAAATGGACTCGAATATTAAGGTATTTTTTAAACATGGAAAAGTCAGACTTTGTGCATTTTAGAATAATCACTGCCAAAGTCATGGAGGTGCTTCATGTACACATATTGTTTGCCCTCTTGAGAAGAATACTTCCATATGTGTTACATAGCATGTACCGTCGGTGCATAAATTTCATGAGCAAGTATCCAGTACACGTGGTGGGTACAACAATATTGTGGAAATAACCTTTATCTGCCCGTGCGCAGATTTCATCTACGAATTGGGTTATTTCTGAATTTTTAAATGGTAAGTTAGCTTTAGCGCAGGCTCTGTGTGCCTTTCAGGGATAGGACGAATAATTATGTAGATTAATTTGTTTGAAATTACTCCTCTAATTTTGATGATGTAGTCTAGAATTCTATAATGTTCCCTCCCTCCCTCCCTCAGAGCTAGAACGGTCCCGACGGGCCTCATAAGATTTGCACTCACCTGGTAAACATGATACCCCAGCGTGTTCGTTTTGTGTACAGTCATGCTCTAGGAGTGGTCCATGATCACAATCCATAATGTCTGTCTCGGTCCCATCGCAGGCTATATCATCTAGGATGTAGGGATTGGATGCACTGCTGTTCAGCCCAATGTAGGTACCAAGAGCCCTCTCGTAACCAAGCATTCGGCACACAACATCTCCTGCAGACATGCTCCATCCATCGTCACAGATAGGATTCCAAGAAATATCCCCTCGAGCCTCGATGACTCCTTCCCAATCATTAGGGGAATCAACAAACCGAACTCTATCTTCTCTCTCAGTTGCTTCAAATGGCAAAATATAATGAGAATAAATGTAAATGGATGATAATATTGTGATTTACTTCCTCACCTGCAATAAAAGGTGATGTAGGGTATATTTAGAACAGTCCACTATTCAACACCCCACCAATCAGTGTTTCCATTAATGTTACAGTCGCACTTCCACCTAAAGCCTAGCCATAAGAACCATGTCAAGCCATGTTTGTGATGCGAGATTAGACTAGCGATTATTTCCGTGACATTATGGAATCTATTTGTTACTTACAGGTTGAACGTTACCTTACCGCAAAAGCAAAATGTCATAACATTCAAAGTTTTACCACATTAGTCAACCCTATTCACCTCAGTGAGGCCTTGTGTGTGTGTCCGTGTATTGGGATGTGGCATTTGTCTTGGAATTACATGGTATAACAAGTTAGCTACGTCCAATTTCTTCCAGGGTCTGAACTGTCCAGTGCGTGTGTCTATCAACTGGCTCTCGCTACAATGGCCTAGCTCCGAACGAGATCTTTACATGGCACTTGCAGCTGGGCTTTACGTGAAAGTATGACTTTTCAATAAACTTTAACTCACGTGATCTGCACGCGACTACAACGTTATCGTAGCATGGAGTGGTTGGCGCTTGAAAGCTGCAATTTTCTATTTTGCTTTCTGTCCATACAGCACATTGTAGGTTAGTCTTCTGAATAGTGGTTGAGACGTCTGGGAATCTATTTCGTAGGTGAGCTGTCAAAGAATCGTTGTACCCAAGCATTCTGCAAACCACGCGAGCGTCTAAAAGATCCCAGTTGTCGTCGCAAATTGTGTTCCAAGATTCATCGTAAAATATCTCAACACGTCCTTCCCAGAATTCACCGCCATCTTGAAGTCGGATAGTTGAGTTCCGTGGACTAGGTGGTTCAGTAATTTCTGGGTAAAAGAAGATAAGGGGACATCCGCTACCTTACCCAATGACTTCATGATTGTCATATAACCATATACTCACTACAGAACTAACAGTTATCCTATTTTGAAAGTGCAAGCTATCCTAAGACTTCTCCTAAATGGACGATTCCAAATACGAAATACAACGTGGTACGAAGTTGTAATACAAGACACTTTCAGAATATGGTATACCTTTTGGTGCTCGTTTACAACTCGACATATTTATTACATATTTATTCTGTAAACGTCCCGTTGCACCAGTAGGTCCATTGTTGCACAATTCTGGACCTGTATATACGTCAGAAAAAGTCATAACCATCCCAAAACTGAAGGTTTCAAAAACCTAAAACATGGGTACTTTCTTTTGCGACCCTCAGCAAACATGCAACGAGTTAACCTTTTAAATATGATTGTATCTCAAAGAATGAAAATTGTTGTTAGGTTAGAAAAACATCACGGATTTCCTTACATAACAACACGCAAAATCTGCAATGTGTATTAATCCCAAATGTTAAAATACAATTATCCATATTTGGTGAACGAAATACTTTTTATCTAGGCACTTTAAAGAGAGACGTATACAAAATGACTTATTGGAGTCCAACATAGTGTACCTGAACCGGGATCACAAGTGACTCCAGCATCCTCATAATGCCCACAGTTGTGATGAAACAATGTTGTATGTCTGCAATCGAAGATATCATCCTCGTCACCATTACATACCACATTATCTAAGATAATGCGCTTAGTTTCTATCGGTAGATCCTGTATAACATCGGAGAACCCCATTGAACGACATGCAGCTTTAGAGTCCAGTCTACTCCAGGAGGTAGTGCACACCGGTTTCCATATTCCATCTCCTCTTATTTCAAGTACCCCGATCCAAAATACATCTCGTTCTTTTAACCGAACATCAAATGACAGTGGAGTAGGGATCGTCAGTTCCTCAGCAAGGGGAAGTGATCTTCCTCCAGGGATTGAACCTTTACAAAATAAATGAACAATTATTAAATCCCGGAATGGTTTTATCATTTTATAATATTCAATAAGATAAGAATATTTCAATTGCCATCCTTCGCATATTCTTCTACTTTTTGTTTACATCATGCAAATATGAGGCAACTCACCAAGTGCCTCTACCAATATGAAACACTCCCTTTTCCTGATGATGATGATGAACATGATCATTATTATTCTTCAAAACAAAATAAAACAATAACGTTATCATTACCATTACTATTATTTTTGTTTTTGTTGTTATCATATTATTATTATTACTATTCCTGTAAATACTTTTATTGTTATTATCATTATTATTTTGATTTTGATCGGTCGCTATATTTCATTCCGTTGTAGGTCTTATTACACTACGTGTATAAAACACGTCATTGTAGAGGCAAAATCACATCCTCCTCGTTCTCTATTACTCAGGCATATTGGAACATTGGACTAAAGGCCGATGTTATTACTTAATATCCAATATTATTTATCACAATATTACTTGCAGTGCCATTGATATAGTGCAGCTAAATCATATTGTGTTCAGACAATCAATTACACTTGTGGCTTAATCGATTATTGATAAGTTTTTTTAACCCCAATTTATGGAATGATTTTGACAATGATTTATTCCTAATATTGGCGAGTGTCTGTTTTGCGTGACTGCTGAATCATGTGTATGCTGCTATGTTTATCAACTAGGGGACCTACGTCCTTAAGTCATAACTGAAAGTAATGAGGATTAATGCCTCACAAAAACTGTACGGTATCGTCTGCATATTCAATAATGCTGCACTCTCTTACGTTTGCATATGCAGTCGCTTGTTAACAGGGAGAAGAGCGCAGGAGAGATGACACCATGGGTGTCGATCCCGGGGGGGGGGGGGTGGGGGGATTTATCCCCCAATATTTCAGGTGGGGGGGGGGTGGCCTGTACAATCATCCCCCCCAATAATTCACCATCAGAAAAATAAAAAAAATTAAGAGAAAAATTAATGATGAGAGCCCGATGAGAGTAGTTAATATACACATTTTGCTATCTCATTATATACGAAGTAAATAAGACAACCGTATATGAGACAAGAATAAATTGAATTCTTGCTCGTACGGCTTCATCATGCATGCAGGAATTGATGAATTTATTCAATTTGTTTAATCAACAGCATCATAGAAATGCAGTGCGCCAAATGCAAAGACGAAGCGTCAAAAAGCAACGAGCTAAATGTTAAGCGCGAAGCGCAAAAGTAGCAATCTGCAATGCACATCAGGCAATCCTGGACAGTGTAAACATAAATGAACTCTGTGACGATTTCGTGATGAAATCGGAGACTAGGAGAAAGATTTTCGGACATTAGTATGACTTATAAAACAGTTCACTAGTTGTTATGTTGTTTCCGTTCACCCTTTTTAAAATTCACGTCATTGTATCTTTATTTTTATTTTTTTCACTCATTTTATTTCCTGATATTTCCTATTTTTGTTTTCATTTTTGGAGAAAGATTATTATGTCACAACTTATTTGTGACATAACTTATTTTCATTGGGAAACTAAATTCAGACAAGGATTAATATAGAGAACAGTACAACCAATCGTCTTCTTTCTCTAATAATTTGGTGAAAAGGGCAAAGCTGTTAGGGGGCAACTGAATTCAGACGTGGATTAAGAGTAATAATCAAATGAAACGTCAAAGTACACGATACAACTAATCGTCTTCTTTTAATAATAATTTAATGAACCGTGAAAGCTTCCGCGCTTCGCGCGGAATGGGCGAAAATGAATACAGACAAGGATTAAGAGTAATCATTTATTGAAACGTTAAAGCTTCCGGGGGTAAACTGAATTCATGAAGGACACGATACAACAATCGTCTTCTTTCTCTAATAATGTAATAAAATGTGAAAGCTTCCGCGCTTCGCGCAGGAATGGGCGAAAATGAATTCAGACAAGGATTAAGAGTCGAGAATGGTACATAGAATCGTCTTCTTTCTTTAATAATCTAATGAAACATCAGAGCTTCCGCGCTACGCGCAGGGGAAAGGGAAACTTGATTAAAACATTAATGATTAAGAGTCGAAAATGGTTCATCGAATCGTCTTCTTTCTTAAATAATCTAATGAAACGTCAGAGCTTCCACGCTACGCAGGGAGAAAGGGGAACTTGATTAAAACAAGGATTAAGAGTCGAGAACGGTCCAACGAATCGTCTTCTTTCTCTAATAATTTAGTGAAACGTCAAAGCTTCCGCGCTTCGCGGGGGACGGGGGACGGGACGGACTCCCCCTCCCTGCATCCAACCCCCTAGGGACCGCGCTTCGCGTGCTCACTACCGCCCCCTAAAATGAAATCCTGGCTACGCGCTTGGGAGGGGTACAACTTGCCACACGCTTCTACCTCTTGGTTGCTTTGATCCATTGCCGAAAATATTTTGGCACCTATCATCCCCCCAACCACGGATACAAATCGACACCCTTGGATGACACAGCCCTGGGGTGTCCTTGTATTCAAAACTCTGGCACAGGACAAAATGTGACCCAACACGACTCTTTGTGGTCCGTCACGTAAACAACTCTGGATCCACAGAATTATACAACGCAGGTCTAACCCTTGTCCAAATGAGCATATACTTTTTAATATGCAGGTATGATAACATTGCGTATCAACTCCTGTCTTTCATCTGCACATCGTCTTCAGAGATACAACTTACATTTCAGTTCCTCTACATACATGTAGTCCTGTGTAATGTCAGATCACAGAGTCTTTGTTTTGTGTTCATACACACGGATCACCTTCATTGCCTTCAAAGCAGCAACATGTTTGTCAGCTCAGAAGTTATTTTTGAGTTTTTTTTATAAGAGAGTTTACAAGAGCCAAATGAGCGATTAAATTTCCTTATACCTCTTTTGGACACGTTTTGTTATTGTCCGTAATCGTGTAAGTCTTTACCTTCAAGCACATTCTGATGAGATCCCTCATGTTTCTCACGTTGTGATCAAGGTCTGATACGTTTGTTCACGTTCTGTCAAGGCTTTCTACGGATGAAACGTGGACGCCGGGTAGCTTTAAAGCACGTTTGTGCCCACGGTATAAAAAAGGCCTCCCAAGCAATCGCAATCATTGAGTGATTTCAAGTACGATGTTAGGTGTTGTTGTTGGTGTTGAGAACGTGGAAAGGCTGCTGAACCGAGCTCTAACACCGAAGGTCAGTTTAGAAGGACGATACCAGCCTCAACACCGAGTGACATCCTACTCTACAGGCGAAAACTCAGAAGTTCCAATAAATTACATCATATTGAATATAAAATGTTAAGTCATATTAAAAATCAAATAGAAAAAGAAAAAGAAATTCTCTTGAAAAACAGATATAGTTCCCACGATTTAGTTGTTTTGACTGGAAAATTGATTTTACCTTGGCCTGATCATGAGATTTGTGACAGATGTCCGCATAGTTACCTGCAGTATACTGCAATGCCAACACCAAAACCGAACTTGAAATCATGAGTTTCCCAATCCCTAGGGGCTGGTGTTGGTGAATGGGAAAATTACACGTAAATCGTCAACACCAACCGCGATACTCGGTTCAGCAGACGACAATAAACACCATCCCTCAACACAGACTACCGGAAATGCATCATATTTTTCGACGTCAACCTCAACACCAGCATGACTTCAAGTTCGGTGTTGTAGCTGGTGTTGGTGTTCTCGCAACACCAACCAGGGGCGGCGATCCCGGGGGGGGGGGGCACGTTCCCCCTCAATATTTTTTGGGGATCATCCCCCGGAAAATTTGAAAAAGTGCAAAAAAATGTATAGCAAATACTGACTAAAGATTGCAACTCACTTTTAGGCCCAGGAGGGCCCAAGAGTACAGCGTTTAGACAAATCAAAAATGCAAAAATTTTCTCGCCCGAAAGCTACGCTCACTCGCATAATTATCCTTTAAAATGTACAAGTAAATATAGTAGAAATGTAAAGAGTGAAAAAAGTATATTGCTCGCTCTATACTATAGTTTTGTAATGTAATTTTTTATACAACAAAAGTTCAAAGACCTGTCAGGGGGTAGTCACTTCCGTCACCGTCACCCCTCTCGTTCACTATGCTCCCTCGCATTGGCGTACTGATATGGGGGGGGGGGGGTGTTGGGGGCAGCGATACCAGGGATTTACAAATGCTGCTGAAATGGCATGATTTTCCCACCAAGGGCCCTAAGGCTGTCCCTGGATGCTCATCTGACCGTAATTAAATGCCGAAAATCCCTGGACCCCACCAGGGGTCAAATCAGTGACTTGCATGACAGTGTCACAAATAAGGTATCAAAATATGCTCATCTAACGTTACCGTAATGAAATGCCTAAAACCCATGACCTCCATGGGGCTCTGCCTCTTGAACCCGCCGGGCCCTGGACCTCACGCCAATTTACGCTCATCTTACTTCGCTCGCTTTGCTCTACCTGATCGTAAACACTTTAGCCCCCCCCCCCACTTTGAAAAGCGTTGCGCAGGGCCTGCATGTAAAATGTAGAGTGGTGGTGATGCGGATTTTTTTCTACCCCCCCCCCCCCCCGAACGTTTTTTATCATTACGCCACTGCTCCCTCGTCCCTCGCATTTCTTCCCCCCCGGTCATGAAAAGAAATTGCCGCTCCTGACACCAACACCAGCTTTTAACACCGAACTTGAAATCACTCATTGTATCCTGAGACCAGCGCTTCGTGTCAGACCGTAGTGGAACGCAACGTGCCTAAGCGCGCCGGACCCGTAACCGTCTCACTACGGACTGTCCCCAAGTTGTGTTATGGCCTATTACGTACTGTCACGTTTTGTTGTGTTCACCCCGTTTCTCACCGCCGGGAACAAAGTGTAAACGTAGCATAAACGTAGCATAAATATCTGGCCCGGCATCATAGGCTATTACGGTATGTCTCGTTTGCCCATTCCGTCCCCCGCGTTGTCTCACGTCCATTCCGTTATGTCCACGGTGGCCTGAAACGTGATTACTGTGGTCGCCGGGAACACAATGTAACCTAGCGTTAGTTCCTTTGCACCCCATGGCTTATTGTTGGCTTATTGTTGACACAGTACTTGACAAAAATTGTAACAGCATCAGTAGCTTCTTCTAAAGAGTTCGAACGCTGAATGGAACAACAGATCCCAGTTCATGCAGTTAAAATCAATGTTCAGACGGGGGCTTGCTAGTTGGCGTAAGCTTATCCCTGCAGCAGTAAATATCTCATGTATATTTCACTTACACCATTAGTTGTCCACACCCTCTGACTCGGTCCAACTTGCCAGTAAGCGGTGGCGCCCGCACTAGTCGACCTCAACACACCTTCCGCTGCTTCCGCATCTAAACCGTGCGAAATTTAATTTTCATTTTCGATTGTAAACAAACAACCCTCGTGAAAGGTCACAGATACTCCCAAGTGCAAGTGAGAGTATCCACACGGTCAACTTACGCTACTCTCTAGTCGTGTTAGTGAGTTACTTCCCGATAAATCCAGGAGTTAATCGGTCGGGTAAAGGTAGGCGTAGCTTACACGACCATTGTTCAGACGGTCAGAGACCACTACTCCGACCTTTACACCGAATTCACTATATTTACCCCAACTAGCTCTTAAAACGACCTTTATCCAGGGGTAAATTGCCATCGTCTGAACAAGACTATTGGCGGGGTCGTCTGTCCACGTGTACCGTTACTATGGCAATAGAATTTCGACGATGCGTTGTGCTGGACTACACGGCTGCTAAAAATAATTGTGTTCAATTAAAAAAATTACAGTTCTGAAAATAAATAGTACTGATGGGTCCCAGACAAAATAAAATATGAACAAGTTGAACTCACGAGTCATTGTCAGGGGTAGTACTTCGTTTTATTTAAGAAATATTATTATCTCATGTACAAAGCATTGTTTGATTTAACGAAAATTGTAAAAAGTATGTATATATATATATATATATATATATATATATATATTTATTTTTTTGTATGTTGTTTTGGAAGAACAAAAAGGTATAAATTTGATTTTATTATTATTATTATCAGTATTATGAATATTATTATCATATTATGATATTATTGTAAATATCATTTTTATTATTATTACCATCATTAGGGTAATACCTGTTTGGTTTTATTGGTTATGGTGATATCCCAATAATTTAGATGAATTTGTAACTTATCAAGGGTCCTTAAGATATCGTTATCACTTTAGAAGAGACTTTGCCTTTATAGGAGCATCTCTGATTTAATCTTCGTACTCGAGAAAAAGATATAGAATGAAAGAAGAGAGAGAGAGAGAGAGAGAGAGAGAGCGAGAGAGAGAAAAAAAAAAGAGAGAGGGCGGAGAGCGAGTATTACAATGAAATAAAACATAGGCAATTTAAATACAAATGATTCTCTCATCCTATAAATCATTCCAAATTAACATTTTTACTCTCATTCAAAACTATTGGGTCTGAATAGTAATAATATTTGATTTCTACGAACTCGTTTAGATATTTGTAATGAGAATTCGGCAAACAATTATATTGTTTGCTTTAAAGATGAATCAAGTACCCATTATCAATTCTAGCATTAAAAAAAAACATTTTAAAGAGGATGCAATTAGCATATTCAAGAGCATATATTTAAGTGAAGAGGAAGAAGAAAAAACAACCGTATGAAATACAAAATATACGAATCTTTGGCTTTGAGCCTTTGTCAAGTAATGAGAAACAATGTATGTATTTATGTATTCAATTTGCTTTTAAATTTTATGAAATGTAGTGCATGTTCTATTTAAGTTAGATTACATTGAAATCAAAGAGAACTAGATGGACCTTCGACTGCGCGCAGTCAAAAATGATGCCTCCGCCATGGTATAACAAACCAAAACAGAAGTAAATTTTAAGATTCAAGTTTGATTGTAATCCATTAAAAGGTTCTCAGAATATCTTGATTACAAGCTATTTTTTATACACATTTGTTATCCTTTGATCTTTGACCTCATGTCTCTAAACTCTAATCACGTCATTGGCCTTACAAGATACATATATGTCTTGGGTTTGAAAGTAATCCATCCATCGGTTCTATCGATAATACGTTCAAAAGCTATTTCTGCACACATAATGAGCCCCATGACCTTTGAACTTTGAACTCATGGCCCTAAAATCTAAGCAGTTCGTAGGCTCTGCAAGTTACATACATATCTTGAGTTTGATGGTAATTCGTCTATTGGTTCTAATGATAGTGTAATCAAAAATTATTTTTGTAAACATAATGAGCCTTGTGACCTTTAACCTTGTGACCTCAAAATCTAATCAGTTCATTGGCTCTGCAAGATATATACATGACCCAAGTTTGGCGAAAATCCATCAATGGGTTCTTGAGATAACGCGATCACAAGCTATTTTTGCATACATCATGAGACCTGTGACCTTTGACCTTGGATCTCGTGAATTCAAAACCTAATCAGTTCATTTCCTCTGCGAGATACATACATAACCCACGTTTGGCGGGAATCCATCAATTGGTTCTTGAGATAACGCGATCACGAGAACGGGACGTACGGACGGACGGACAACCCGAAAACATAATGCCCCCGGCTACTTTGTAGCGGAGGTATAAAAATAGTGCGATGAAAGATAAAAAATGGGCCAAATCCTTGGAAAGAGTTAATTTTTAGACAACACACATGAGGGGAGTATGTTTTACTGTTACTGTTTTTTTTCGCTGCTACTTCTATTCAAAATTTAAACCTAAAAATAAATAGATACATACAAGTATATCAAGTGTGCTTCTAGTCCATTCGTACCACCATGAGGTAAAGACATTTTTTTTGTAAAGTTCATTTTGTAATTGTTTGCAGATTCCTAATTGTATTATCTTTTTCCTCTCACGTGTACGTGACTTTTCCTGTTATAATGAGGATTGTTTTTTCCGGCCCAATAACATCAGACTCCGTGACGATATGAAGCGCGGAATTATAATGAGAAATTTTTTGAATGACGTTATCAGAAAGTATGGGGATAATTAGCAAATGGATTGACGGGTAATAAAAGCTTTTGACTAGTTCGGACGATTAATTGTGTGATCAAAATTTGCAAAGGCAAGTCTATATAACCAACCGACTTCTAAACAGTTCCATTAACCTAATGACTGGTACCTCTAGGCAAAGGTCAATGATAATATGATAATCATTTATGTATGGTATAGGCTATCAA